AGCAAAACGCGAGAGGACTACGTACGAGACGTATACGCTATCCTTACGCGGCTCCGGAAGTTCGCCTTATATACGAATAGAAAGAAATGTTCCTTCTAGAAGAAAGAAGTCGAATTCCTCGGGTTTATCGTTAGTACCGAAGGCGTATCGATAGATTAGCGTAGGGTAAACGCTATTACCGAGTAGCCTCGTCTGTTAACGCTAAAAGAGGTTTAATCCTTCCTTAGATTCTATAACTTCTATCGGAGGTTTATCCTAAATTACTCCCGAATCGTTATACCGCTAACTACCCTATTAAAAGGCGCCGTAAATAGCCGGAAGCTAGGTTAGGTCTAGTAGGGCGAAAGCGAGGAGCAAGCGTTCCGCTAGCTAAAGGCTGCCTTTAGCTCTACCTCGGTCCTCGATATTATAACACTATAATCCTACGAAGCCCCTATGTATTAAAACCGATGCCTCTACGTTCGCCTTAGTAGGGATTATATTATAATAGAGCGAAGATAGGAATTAGCACCCTATTGCTTTCTAGTTACAGAAAATAGTCCTAGCTAAGATAAATTATAAGACCTATAATTAGGAGCTCTTAGCGGTTATCGAGTCCTTTAAGCATTAGCGCCTATACCTCGATAGTGCCTAGTATACGATCCGCGTAGTTATCGATTACGCTAATCTTAAGGGCTTTATAAAAATAAAGCAGCTTATCGGAAGGCAGGCAAGATAGGCAACCTTCCTTATACCTTTCGACTTTACTATTAAATATCGGGCTAGTAAACGAAATCTAGCCGATATACCTTCGCGACGTAGCGACTACGAAAGCGAGTCGTAGGCGGCGAACAACCTTCTCCCTATATTATAGTCGAAACTAGCTCTATAGTTAAATCTGCCTAAGGATATCGAGCCGATTATAAAACGCATCTCTATTATATATATAGGGATACGAGACGCTAGTATAGCGCTAGCGGAACGCAAGAGTTTTATTAGCAGTCCTATAAGAGTAGCGGCTACTATCGTTAGGAATAACGGGCCCTACTACGAGATACCTAATATAACCCTTAGTTTCGTATATACTCTATAATAGCTAGAGCAAGCGAGAGGAGGAGGCTTATACGAGACAAGCTTACCGTCGGGTAGCTTAGCCTCGTTAAGTAGTTCTAACCTCCCGCCTAGCTATTCTCGTTGTAGTAACCTTATTTACTATAGCGATACGCTATATATCTCTAAGGACTACGTATTACGTACGCAGCTAATATGTATATACTACGACGACCCTTTAGCTAGATACTTTAGTATAGCTAAGACTATAGACCTAATACGCTAAAAGTACTTCTAGCCGAAAATAGCCGAGGATATTATAGCCTATATCCGCACCTATAGAATTTATTAACAGTCGAAGACGAAGCGCTATCGCCTATATAGCGAGCTCGCTACGCTACCTATACTAACCCGACTATAGCAAGAATTGATAATAGACTTTATTACCGATCTCCCGCCGAGCAAGCTCGGTACCTACGTATATACTACGATCCTCGTAATAGTCGACCGCTATACGAAGATAAGCCTCTTTATCCTAACGACGAAGAAGTGCATAGTAGTAGAACTCGCGGATATCCTTTAAAGGGAGGTAATTAGGCGTTTTAGAGTGCTATTAGGCATTATTAGCGATCGTAGATCGCTTTTTACTAGCTAGTTTTAGAGCGACTTCTGCTTCGAAGCGTATATAAAGCGCAGGCTTAGTATAGCCTTCTATCCTTAGACTAATAGGTAAACCGAACGCGCGAATTAGACCCTCGAGTAATACCTTCGATACTATTACTCTAAGAATTAGGATAAGTAGGCTAAACTATTGCCTTAGGCAGAGTTTGCCTATAATAATAGCGTTTATCCTACGTTGCGTATAAGCCCCTTTAAGATGCTCTACGGCTTTAACCCTAATTTAATGCTAAGCGCAAATAAGCTACTAGCTCGGGACGAGCTAACTAAGGGAAGGGTACTAGTAGCTATCGACGCTACGAAGCGACTATAACAAGTATATAAAACGCTTATAGAACGCTAGCAGAAAGCAGTAGAATACTAGGCTAAGCAATACAATATATACTATACTACTAAGATATATAGTATAGGTAACTTAGTCTTACTATCGATAAAGAACATTAGCTTAGATATCCTAAAGAAGAAACTTAGCCCGAAGTATATAGGGCCTTTCTATATTATTAACGTAGTCGGAGCGTAGGCGTACCGCCTAGCACTACCGTTAAGCACGAAGATCTATAATGTTTTCTATATTTCCCTTCTCGAGCCTTAGTATAGGCGCGATAGCGAGGAGTATAAGATAAGTATGCCTATCGCTAAAGGTAATAAGTAGTAGGTAGAAACAATCGTAGTAAAGAAGATAAAGAAGCGGAAGGCGTACTACCTTATTAAGTAGCGAGGTTAGCCTAAAGAATACAACACTTAGGAGCTAGCTATTTATATTAAAGATTCTATAGCGTTAGACGAGTTCGAAGCTTAAGCGAAGCGTAAGCGTAGGCAGTAATTAAAATAAAAGAAAATAAAACTTAAGAAAAATAGTAGATACGTGCTCGTTTCGCTACTAAAAAAGGCCTATTAGCCTAGTATATATAAAGAAGGCGCTACGTAAGCGCAGCGACAGCAGGCCGCCTACTCTACTTATCCTTAGAATCCTTAGCCTCCTCCTCCTCTTCGATACCTATAGCGGTATCGATAGCGGCGATAGCCTTAGCGCCGACGCGCTAAGCGAGGTTCTAGTATAGTTAGTATACGAAGCGCAAGTAAGACGAGGCTATAGGAAAAACTATACCTAACGACCGATCTCTACTAAGCCGGCTAAGTTAGTGCCGATATACTCGAGGGTACTAAGTAAGTTAACGTCCGTAAGGGACCCGCTAGCGGCCCTCTTACGGGCTAGGGCTTTGCCGCCGGGGGTTACCTTATTCTTATTAGTATAAAAGACGTATAGCGTAGATAGGATAACTAATATCGAGGTTAGTATACGAAGCGCAATCGGAGCGTATAAGGAATATACGTACAACTATAGAGTCTAGCTCGGCCTAGAGTGCCTCTAAGGCCTCGTTAGACTCCTCGATAGAGTCGTAGCCGTCTAGGTCGTATAGGTCGCGCGTAGAGCGTACGGCGCGAATATACGCTAGTAGCGACACTAGTAAGCGGGCCGTAAGCGGAGTATAGGTATAATAGCTACTACGGCAGCGATCGTAGTTACGCTTAGTAGTAGGGTCTATATTGCCGCCTATATAAACCTTAGTTAGGTCTACTAAAGCGAGTTAGTTACAAAGCGCAAGCGCGTAGCAAGTAGCGAGAATACGTACTATTAGCTATTATATACTTAAAGTAACGAATATAGCCTTTTAGGACTTTTAGAGGGCGCTAGGTAGGCGTAGTAGGTATCGAGGGCGGAGCGCCTATAGCGCGCTTACCTAAGGTACGCGAAGGAGTAGATATACTAGTAATGTTTTTTTTAGATAGATATTTAAAAAGAAAAATCTTTAAGTAATACTAGGGAGGCGCGAGGGCGGAGTAGGTAGGGCGTAGGCAAATAGTATTCGGAGCGCTTAGAAAAAGAAGAAGTTTTTAAGCGGGCTTCAAATGCTTTAAATACTCGCCTCGCTTTCGGACAGCTTGCGTTCTCGCGTAGCTACCGCGTTCTTAGAAATTTAGGCAATCTCTAGTTAGTACTAGAAGTAGCCGCGCTTTAAATCTATAAACAAACAAGTAACTACGAGGCAAATTATAACGTGCCTAGCAACTATAGCCTAGCGATAGGTACGTATAAGACGCGTAAGTATAGCGTAGAGTATAAGAAATAGTATAATTTACTATATTACCCTATAGCTAGGATAGCTATACTAGGGGAAGGAGATAATTATAAGAACCTAAGCAAGTAAAGTCTCCTATTATGCCTTAGCAAGCTGCAAGCCTATATAACAATTATATAATATTATTATATATACTACGGTATTGTCTCGCTAGCGTAAAGCCTACTTAGCGTATATGCGGAAAAGCTCGGTCGCTCGTATAGACATACTCGGTTGCCGGCTCGGCATATATGCTATCCGTAGGTAGCCTAGTTAATAGTAAACGCTCTGCTCTATTCTAAGAAAGGTACGGTTTAGTTCTACTTTCTACTATAGCGATTAGTAGAGGGTATTCTATACGTTGCTATATACCTATTTTCTTATACTTATATAGCTAGTAGGAAGGCCGCTTTATTACTAGGTACTATAGTAATAGCACTATTAGTTTACTTAGTAATAGTAGTATACTAGTTAGTAATAGTAGTATACTAGTTAGCAACTAAGAGACTAGTATAAGCTAGTATATATAGCCTCGCGTAGTTACAAGGCGGCAGGTCGTAATCCGCTTAGGCCTAAGTAGATAGCTAACAACTAATAATACCTTTAATTTTGCTATACTACTAATTTACTAACAAACTTTAGCTTTATAGCTAGTAGCAGTATTGCTAGCAGCAGTATTGCAGTAGTTGCCCGGCTAGCGGGGCCTACATCGACGCGATTATCCGCTTCTACACGCGATTATGTATAGAACAGCCGATCTCGTAATCTCGGGGTATGCTGGGGCTCGGGCGGGTAGCTGGGGCTCGGTTTAGCCTCGAGGTTGCTTGCTAGGAGACGTTCGGTTCCCAATGGCTCACGTGAGAACTGCACAGGAGTCGGAGCCCTGCAATATGTATTGATTGGTCGGAGTTCGAGATTTCAATGGAGCCTCGCCAAGGTACTGTAGCGTTCGTTGTAGCCGGAGCGGCAGCGAGCCAGGTACTGTACGGTACTGTTAATGGCACTAATGCATGGTACCCGTGGCACGAACGTAACCACGCACCAAGGTTCACCGGGGATCGTCATGCGGCGACCTGGCACTGCATGCTTTCCACCGGCACCTGGCAGCAGGCTATGGTACGACGGTGTTGATCTTGCTTTGCTTTCTCTCTTCTGTTCCATACTCTGCCGTAGCGAAACACTGTTGCTCGTGGAGGGATGAGCCTCTTTGAATACCACTGCTACTGCTTGCAACATGTTTCCAATGCCTCCTCCGGCAGCTGTCGACTGAGAGCTGTACACACCATCCGAGACGCTTGACGCTGCCACGAACGATCAACACCAAGCTTTCGACGATCGACTCGGCCATGTCGACTACATTACATCGAATAGAGGCACCGGTAACTGCGAAGGCATACGTTATGTGTGCCTTCGCAGCATTCGCAGGTGTCCTCTTCGGATATGATTCTGGATATATCTCGGCCGTGCTTGGCATGGCACAATTCAAGAAGGACTACGGCCATCCAGGATATCCAGTCCAGCCAGACGCACCGGACGGCTACAACTATGCGACCTGGGAAAAGTCGTTGATCGTTTCCATACTCTCTGCCGGTACTTTCGTGGGCGCACTGATCTCGGGCTACCTCGCTGACCAAATCGGGAGACGACCGACCATTGTTGGGCCTGGCTGCGGAGTGTTCGTGGTAGGCGTCGTGATCCAGGTCGCCGCAACTCATGTAGCTGCACTCTGCGTGGGTCGATTCATCTCAGGCCTCGGTGTTGGCTGTGTCTCGGCCGTCAACATCCTCTACATGTCTGAAGTCGCTCCACGAAAGGTCCGAGGCGCGATCGTCTCCGCCTACCAGTTTGCCATCACAATCGGCATCATGTTGGCAAGCTGCGTCGGCTACGCAAACCAGGACCGGAGAGACTCCGGCGCCTACCGCATTCCCATCTCTGTTCAGTTCATGTGGGCAGTCATCTTGAGCATTGGCCTTTTCATTCTACCGGAGAGCCCGCGATATTGGGTCAAAAAGAAGAAATATGCCAAGGCCGCACAAGCGCTGGCAAGAGTACGTGGACAACCAGTGGAATGCCCATTCATCGAGGACGAACTCGCGGAGATCGTTGCCCACTGCGAATACGAAGCGCAAGTCGGGGAAGTTTCATGGGCAGGACTATTCACAGGCGGCATCACGAATTCGAACAGCAACATCCGAAAAATCTTCATTGGAACCTCATTACAGATGATGCAGCAATGGACCGGAATCAACTTCATCTTCTACTACTCGGTCACGTTCTTCCAGCAGGTGCACCTGACAAATCCCTTCCTGATCTCCATGGTCACAACGATTGTCAACGTGCTCAGTACACCCGTCTCCTTCTATGCCATCGAGAAGTTTGGCCGAAGAAATCTGCTCATCTTCGGCGCAGTAGCGATGTGCATCTGCGAGTTCCTTGTCGCAATTATCGGCGTATCTGGCAATTCGGAGGCATCGAGCTACTGTATTATTGTTTTTGTTTGCATATATGTCTTCTTCTTTGCATCGACATGGGTACGTGATAGAACAAATTTAGCCAAACTAACTCGGGTCTCTGGAGCTGACCATCAACTGTATATAGGGTCCAGCCGCGTGGGTCGTCATAGGCGAGATCTTCCAGCTGCCCATCAGATCGAAAGGCGTTGCGCTATCAACAGCCTCGAATTGGTTCTGGAACTGTGTTATTGGCATTATCGTTCCGTTTATCGTTGATGAAGACAAGGGAAATTTGGGCGTTAAAGGTATGATTGACTCTTACGACAAAACAATTCGTCTGGATTCGCTGACGAGCAACAGTGTTCTTCATTTGGGGATCTACCTGTGCTTCCTGTGCTCTTTTTGCCTGGATGTTCGTGCCCGAGACTAAGGGCCTCACACTTGAGCAAGGTAAATCACGACATGAATCATATGCTCTTGAAGACGCCGAGCTAACAATTCACAGTCGATAAGATGATGTCAGAGGTCCCTGCCTACGATAGCAAGAAATGGACACCACAAGATACATTCTCAGAGGATTACGGATTCAGACATCGAAGAAGCAGTACACGCAGTAGTATAATTGACGGCGAACGAGCACCAAAAGTCGAAAGTTTCATTGAAATGCATAGAGGGTGAAGAGAGGTATACATTGCTGTTCGAAGCGTCGGCGTTTGGGATTGAGTGTGACCTGCATGCATATTGGGAGGAATGAGCGATGATACCCTGAGACTATGGACTGTCAGGATGACAAATGATGTTTACTGTGTAATATCTCAGACGAGAGCCTACCGAGAGGTGTATTCTGTCGGCGGGCTGCAGCTTGCTGCCAGAAAGAAAGAAAGCATTTCAGCTGGACCTGATCTCCTCGTGACATTCTGCTACAGTGTCGAATCGGTGGTCTGGACAACGGTCAAACTTCAATGACCTGCGTCAACTTCACCACAACTAAGAATAGCAGATTGCTGCCCTTCGCAAGCACAGTCAGCTGTTAGAACACCACTGACACTCGGAACGATGACAGCAAACAACACTCAAACATCATCATCATCATCCCCCCACACCTTCCTCGCCACCTTCTTTACCAACTCCAATTTCTCCCACATCCTCTCCTCAGTCATCCCCTCTCCACCCGCAACACTCAAACTCGAAAATCCACACTGCGGACTCAGCGCCAAAGCATTCAACCCTCCCTTCGCCACCTCTGCAGCCTCAAGAATCTTCCCCACCAAATCCTCTTCAACCTCAAGCTGAAATTTCTTCGTACTCACAAGTCCCAAAACAACATTCTTCCCATTCCGCAAAAATCTCAAAACCTCGAATCCACCACTGCGTTGCAGATCATCGAACTCGAGGTAAAAAGTATCGTAATCCGTCTTGGTGAATAATTTCTCAGCGATGGTGTCATATGACCCGGTAACCCAATGTTTTGATCCGGACATGTTGCCTCGACATAAATGCACACCGATTCGCAGATCTTTCGGGAGGGTTCGGAGAAATAGGTTATGCGATTCTAGATACAAGTCCAGGAGTTCATCGGTGTCAGTTCCGTCCTTGGCACAGCCTGAAAGGAACTGTGAGGAACAAAAATATGTGAGGTGCGGATCGTCGACTTGAATGTTTCTGCAACCCGCCGAGTACAGTGCTGAGATTTCCTGGACGTAGGCTTCGGCGAGAGCTTGGAAGTACTGCATATCGCTCGAGTACCCGGACTCTGGTGTGAATGCTGTTCCGGGTTTGAGCTGGATGTGCTGATACGTTGGTGCTGGCATAGTAATTTTGGCTTCTTTGTATAGCTTCTCATCGTGTCCTAGACCTTCTTTAATCATTTCCCATTCGTCCAGGTAGGCACTTTTAGTCCACTTGATGGGTCCGGTACATTTGACTGCGGCTCTGGTCTTGGCGCCCATTGCTGCGAGACCAGTTGTAGTGGGAAAGTTTGTTCGGAAAGCGTCTGGAATAGGTAGATCTGGTATGGCCGTCATGCCTGCGAGCATTTCAAAAAATCCGCCGTAGAAGATCTGGCGACAGTATTCTCCAGAGACTATGGGTCTGATGCCAAGCTGGAGCTGCTTTGCTATTACTTGCAGGATCGCTCGCTTTTCTGCTTCCTTGATGGCGGGATCGCCGTGGACATCATACATTTGACCTGGTGATGATACGCTCGAGCGCGCCTCAAGCAGGAATGATGGACGAAGAAGTGACCCGATCTGGTCGGTTCTGAAAGGCGGCGCCATGGTGCTTGAGATGACTGTGGTGCCTAAGAACTTATTGTAATTATCGTATCTCCCAGCTGTTCCACAGCACCCAGTGCCTATATGATCGTGGAAGGTATATGTAGCGCTGATTCATGTTCTGGTTGGCCGTTTGCCGTTTCCGATCTCCCCGCAGTAAGTGGGGAGTTGAGCTCTCAGCTTTGCATTGATCAGTCTCAAAAGATGCTCTCCTCACATGTGTCCCTACACAAAATACACCAGACCAAAATATGGCGTGATATGGAAGCTCGCCCTGTCTGGGGGATTCCACGCGCCGAGTAGCTGGTCTGGAAAAGTGTTAGGACTGACTACAGTTCGAAACTGTCTCCTCGTTAGCAAAGAGCTCTCGTTCGGAACGTTCTTGAGCCTGACAAAGTTCATCCTCCACTTCGTTCCCTTGCCGCAGCCTTCATCAACATTCCACAGCCCAAGTGGAATCTTCACAGCACTCTTCCAGATCTCATTCGCTTTATCCAGCTCCGTGGCTGCAATCAGTCCATCCTCTACAGGTGTTTGGAGGTAAAGCGTGTCGAACGGCTGGCCCTCAGTTCGGTTCTTCGAAGCATTGTAGATGATGGCGTTGAATGTGACGTTATTAGGTGAGACTTCGAACTCGAGGTATGTCTTCGGATCATTCGTTCCCGCAGAAATGAATGTCTCCATGACCTCCCATTGGTAGATGGGATCATTGGTGGCCTGACTAGAGTTGTAGAAGAAATTGGTCTCGTTATACGCGGTGAAGTCGATCTCCAGCGATGTTTCCGAATAGCAGAGATCAACCTGTGTCAATGGAAACGCGGTCTTGTTCGGTACGGAAAGGGAGTATTCGATCGTGCCTTTCGCTGGACATGCTGGGACTTCGAGGTATGGCGTGGTGATTCGGGCAGCGTTGGGTATGGCGCTACTGGCCAGGAGTAGCTTTGGATCGAGAAGCATGGTGCTGAGTGCGTTGCAAAGAGCTTGCGCTGGGTAGTGGAAAATTGTTCTGGTTGTTGTCAGCACCATGTATTATACATCTGGGCACTCACGCGGATGCTCGGTGAATAAGCGATGTAACCATTGCATTCTACAGTGCACATCGTTCCCACCCCGCCTGGATGAATTGCGCCCAGCGGCTTCCTATCATTGTATGCGGAGCGAGTTCCTGCGTGTGACCATTCCTTCCAGAGTCCGTATGGTAGTCGGAAGGTTGTGGAAACTGTCAACGCCCGGCAGGTATATGGTACCTCCCCTTGTCCTATCCTTGCACCACCTTCCTCACTACACCAGAACGCCACATGCAATGTTCGTGACTGCGGTGGCGAATGCATCTTGGATGTCGAGAAAGTGGTGTTCGAGTGTGTGTACTGCGCATTAGTTTTAGAAGCAGGTTGCATACATGAGGGTTGCGGTACGCATTATCTCGAGAGATCTGTCATTCTCGCTCGTACTTCTGCAGTATTCGAGCGCAAGTAGCTGTAGCTGTATGTTATGGGCGCATCAGCAGACATAATAGTATAATGTGTGGCGACCATGCACGTCCATCCAGTGTGACCTGTACAATGTTCCCAAACCTCGAAGACGCCCATCCAATGCAAAATCGCTTGCTGCAAAAGTACTCCTTTCCTCGCCAGTTCTGCCGTTACTGGCATGCGATTACTCCTGCCATTACACCCGTTCTATCTCATGCAGATCAGCCAGGCCCGGATGGAGTGATGAAACCGCCGGCAATGTCGACCCATTGTGGTATGCAACTTCCCTCCTTGCCCTCCACATCGACGATGTCAGTGTCACAGCGACATCTGCATCCAACGCCATTTTCCTTTTCCGGATCCCATTTGTCCCAGTATTCATCCTCTTCTCTTCGAGCTTTTTCGTCTGTGGTTGTTGTTTCGAGGTATGGATCTCGCGGCATCTGCCGCGCCGGTGCATTTGCTGGACAATGCTGGATCGTGGTGTGTCTGTAACCATAATCGCGGAAGTAGTGGATGTCTTTGGGCGAGAGGAGGGCGCCGGCGGCTAGTGAATGGATAGGTGCATCACCCCACTAACGCGTGGTGTCAGTCATCTCTACAGTAGCTCATCATCTCGCCCACACTTACTCGTTCCATCCAAAAGCCACCTGATCGATCCATCATATTGAAGAAGTCTTCATACTCTTTGCTTCGGAAGAAGTCCAGTCTTGCAATTTCGAAGTTGGACCAGAAATGGCACATGTTGTAGACTTCTCCTTCCATGGCTTCAGGGTCGATTTCGGGAAGGGTGCCTTGGCCAGGTTCAGTTCGTAGAATATCCTCTGCAAGTGGCTTGTGCTTACCGTCTTCGTATTTGGGATCTTCTTTAGGCAGCTGATCCGGCGGAATGGTGCCCGGCTTCGGCGTGCCATCTTGGTTGTAGCCCTCCTTCGGCTCAACAAACATTTCCCAGAGGCCTTGACTGGTGATATTGCGTGTGCGCTTGTATGCGGAGGCGTATCGGAAGATGTTGGGCACGGTCTCTTTCAGCTCCTTGACTGCGATGGTGAAGCCGTATGTCTTGTTATTGCGAGCCATGTGCACGAATGGGTCGTAAGTCATGTCGCAGAAGTACTTGATCTCTGGCTCGACTCGCCAGTACCAGTCGTACTTCAGAAGCAGCTCATGTTTGTAGAAGAAGCCGGAGTAGAAGCGACACATGTGGTGGTAGGACTCCATGCCACCGTACATGATGGCCTGGTCACCCTGCTTCCGGATGCCCTCCTTGGCGACGTTCACATCGGTCCAGTTGGGGAAGCCCCAGTGCTCAGGTCCAATCTTGCCGAACTCGACAGGCGAAGACGTGTAGTTCAAGATTGTCTCCTTGAATGTGCTGTTGAAGTCTCCGTCATTCAGGAAGACGTATGGATAGTGAAACCAGCGATTGAAATGCCTCTCCACGCTCTTGATACTCTCAATGACCCCGTCCAGCTCCTTATTCCGCGCAAGCACCACAAAAGCGGCATTCATGCGCTCATGCTCCTTGGACGTGATCTCGGGATCCAAGCATCCCGTGACGAAGACCTTATCGTGCTTCTCGCTGATCTTGCGTATGCTCGGAGGCGAGCCTGAGGGGATTAATCGTGCGCCGGGCGAGTCTGGATGGCGCAGGAAGAGGGTCAAAATAGCAATGACAACCATGGCGGGAAACAGGAGGACCAAATACAGCGGCACGGAGACTTTGCTGTTGCCGCGGATGCGTATTCGCTTCTTGAAGAACGACAAGCGTGGAGTGACCTTTTCTGACACATCCTTAAGCGATGTCATGTGCAGCGACTTGAGGGTCGGCAGGTTCTCGGACGAGGGCAGGCGTTTGGAGATGCCCTTGACGATGTGCATGGCGGCGTTCTGAGCCCGCGAGGGGCGAAGCCGAGATGTGTTCTCAGTCGCCAGAATGTCGTGCGCAGATGGAGGATGGGAAGCGGCGTATCGCCAGGCCAGGCCAGGGCAGACTGAGACGGCAGGTAAGGTAACGAGCGACTGAAGCAGATGCGCAGACTCGGACGGCGGTCGCTGTGATTAGCGCATCAATCGTGCGGTGCAGTGGCCAGCCGACAGCAGACAAGCCGAAGTGCTTGTACAGCGCAGTGGTCCAGTGCCGGCAGGAGAGTTGGGAGTAGAATGAGTATGGGTGTTGGTAGTCTTGGGTGCTGGTGCTGTAGTGGTACTGTATGGTGTTCAGACTGCGTAGTGGCTGTGGCTTCAGTCTCCTTGACTTTGCGCTTGCTCGCCCACCCGAAAGAAGCCCGCCCGACAACTTACAGGTGTCAAGCCCACACAAGCAATAATTGCTGTGCACTCAATCAAGCAAGCGTTGCATAGGGGCAAACCACTGATTTTTGGCTGGCCGGGCCATTCGCCATTACGCGGCCACTCTTGGCGCTGCACCATAGGTACCAGTTCTTTACCGCAAGCAGCAGTACGTCTCCTGCAGCCAGCCGACCGAACCCACACTACTGCACCAAACCAACTAGTCACTACAGTACGCCTCGAAAGGCACCCTACCCTTCAACTCAGCCTAATCGCCTCCGCTCGCTAGCTACACCGTGACGTGACCTCGTTGCTGACCGGTCTGTCGCATTGCGTTGATGATCGCGCATCGTCAACAGCCTCAACAACCACGTTTTTGTCCCGGACCTGCATACTGCACTGTCAAGCTTCGCCATCATCCAAGCATTCCCTCGTTGTAGTCAGCATGGTAAGCTTTTGGAGCCCCATCGACCCAAGCAAGACCCACGAAGCAACCAGAAGAACCTAACCAAACCCATCACAGTCGCGCGACTCGAGCTTCACCTTTCTGCACCTGCACCACTCGCACCACGCCCATCTGCTCGAAGACTTCACTCGTATCAAGCTGCCTGCCGAAGAAATCCACGTCGCGTCGCAACACCAGCCCATCAATCCCGACGACGAGGACGATATCGTGCCAGATCAACATGCTGCGTTTGGCATTCAGCGCGCGCAGCAGAAGCATCGCGAGCCGGCTTGGAGACATCTCGGCCTGGAGAGCCTGATGAATGAAGCACCACCAGCGACCAATGGCCAGGCGAGCGCGGGAGCACAGATCAATGCCAGTCGTGTCTTGAGATGACACCAATCCTCTATGAACGCAAAACGATACTGCAAGCGACACAGGAGAGCCTTCGTCTCTACGAAATGCCTTCGTGCTTTGCGAAATCTCAAACTTCCCATCATAAATACTGCGAGGATTCATCAGATCTTGCTATGGAGGTTGAGCTCACACTAGAAGTGGGCAACAACTAGATCCACTATGGGGAGAGTCCCTAGCATTGCTAATCTCAACATGGCATCTCTTCTCGCCGGCCACCATTGCACTTATCGCAGCAATATAGCCTCCAATCATGGCGTTACAGATGATTGACGCATGACCCATTCGGTATGCACTTCAGTATTTAAGAGCCTCGCGCGCCCCAGGAGCGCTTGGGGCCGAGACTCAGGCTCTTGATCACTACACGCTCCTTGAGGCATGACTGAAGAGAGCACAACAAAGCTAGACTTTATGGGGATAACTAAGCAAGAACGTGAACAGCTCTGGTTCACGTCGATTGCTATTTTGGCCTTTAGACGACCTAATCCATCGTCAACACAGCCCTGAACCTCACCTTTCCGCTCATCATGTGCTTCATAGCCTCGTTCGCCTTTTCCATCGGGAACTTCTCGATCATGCAGTGCACACCATGAGTCTCGGCAAAAGCGATGGCCTCCTCGCTGTCAAGTGCATGTCCAGAAGGCCAGCCATGAACTGACAACGCATTGAGCACCATTTGTACAGTATCGACTTGCACTGGTCCAATGGCCACATGGATCAAGAGCTTTCCTCGGTTTTGCAGTCCTCCCAGCAAAGGTGTGATGACTTCTGGGTTTGGTGCTGTAACGACGATCAGAGCTGCACCTCCGAGCTTCTGAAGAGCTTCGCCAACATCTTCGGCTTTTGTGTCGATGTAGTCTGTTGCTCCGAGCTTCATGGCGAAGTCTTTCTTGTCGCTGCCACGGGAGAGGGCGACAGTACGGAAACCCATCTTGCGCGCGTATTGGATGGCGAGATGGCCAAGGCCGCCGAGACCTTGAACCGCTACGACTTCACCGGCGGTGATCTTCATTTGGCGGATACTATTGTATGGTCAGTCTGAGTGTCCGAGTCCTGCGAGAACATTTCTAGATTCGTACCCATTAAAGACCGTAACACCAGCGCACAGCAGTGGCGCAACCTCAGCTGGTTCTGCTTCCTTGGGAATGCGTACGGCAGCCTCGGTTCGAAGCGTGGCATACTGAGCGTATCCACCGTTACGCATGACACCGTTGATGGTCTTGTTCGTGCACATCTGAAATTCTCCCCTGCAGCACGATCGGCAAGTGCTATCGTGTCCACCGTGCCAAGCTCCGCCTACTCGGTCGCCAACTTGCCACTTCTTCTCGCCTTCTGGTACTGCTACAACAGTGCCGACGAATTCATGACCCAAGATGTCAATGCCAGGAGGACCCATGTCGCCGTGGAGAACATGGTGATCGGAGTGGCAGACACCACACGCGTGGACCTTAATGAGGATCTCGCCTGGGTTGGCGGTTGGTACTGGAACCTCTTTGATGACGAGAGGCTTGTCCACGCCGTCGAGGACAGCTGCCTTCATGGTCTTTGGAATGCTGGAGCTCATCTTGTCGTTGATTACTGCTGTGTTTGGGGTGGCTGCGCTGTTGGAACTTGTAGGAGCAGTCGCTTTTTCACTGCGTCAGGTTTTTGTCCGGATCTGACGATGCCTGTGCTTCGGTAGAGGCTTTGGAAGCTTTGGAAGTAAGTCGACTTTGTTTTTGCGCAGGCCGATCTTCTCAGCGCCCTCTTCGTGACGCAGTGCTGGGAGCAAGCGGGTAGCGTCGATGGTACACTAATGCAATGGCTGTGGTTAGAAGCGCAAAGGTGGGGTGCTGCTTTTGTGAATCAGAAGAGATGTTGTCTAGACAGGACGAAAGATGAATTCTTTATACAGAATGTCACTGCCACGGCCGGAGCTCGAGCTTGCCATATTTCTGCTTATCTCCAGCTCCGGCGTCGCAAAAGGCAGTGGCCGCAAACGCTGAGGTGAATGGCCGGCCATACCAATAGAGGGTAGAGCCTTTTCAAAAGCTCCAATCATGCCGCACTGGGTCGATGCCGTGTGCTATGGCTGCAGTATTTTTCTCAGAGAGCTGGCAAGTGACTATGCCAGATCGAGGAGCTTGCAATAGCTCAAGCAGGTACCACGGTGCTTCGATTCGTCGTGCGATCGCTCCCGAGGGTAGAAGGAGCTTTTGACGTGCAGCTGTATAAGCGGCTGTGTCAGCGCGGAGCTGGAAGCCGGTGAGCAGAGGCCTCAAGTCAGCTATCGAAGATGAGTGAACTTTGAAGTCACTTCGTGGGTTCGTGAGGTTGCTGGTGACATGGTGTGTGACGTTGCTGTTGTTGGTGATGCCTCCCCTGTCCATCTCCGGGCCGACTTTGGTTGGCTCTTGGCTCTTGGCTCTCTCGCTCTTCCAATGGCCGAAGACCAACACTGGACTGGCTTGACAACATCATCTCATCCAGATGTATCGTGTCATCTTCATATGTCTCTCTACGAGTAGTGTGCCCAGCTTGACAGTAGACATGGCATTGGGAGAGTCAATCGCTCCGCGTGGTCGTCGGCTCCAAGATTGCCGTCACTAGCCGTTTTGGCCCCCAGCACAGTCCACAAGCACGAGAGACAAGAAGTTGTAAGAGCGTACAATTCATGTGCGATGATCTGAACACGTGGTCTAGAAGGAGCCTCGCGCCTCAGCAAGAGACGGTGTCATGGGAAGAAGAGAAGGCGAAATGGAAGAGATGAGAAGAACGTCAAGTACGCACAGCGCGGTGAACCTTGATGGACACAGCTATGTACGTGCTTTGTTACTGCGGTAGAACTTTAACTGGAGTCGACACTGTTCTACAGCAGCATCTCCAAGCACCTCTGGCGGTGTTCCTCGTACCGCAACGCCCAAACAACATCTTCACTGAGGCCTCATTAGCCACGAAACATCGCCAAGGAAGATTCGCGAACCTACCTGCTTCATCCCATTGGATCCACCGCCTGACGACATCCGCTGCTTCTCGTAAGCTTCGTAGACGGCCTTCCAAAAGTCGAGAAAGGCTTTCCAGTAGTCAGTGGCAGAAGTATCGCTGGACTTCGAGGCACTGGACGATGTAGAATTGGTAGAGTTGGAGCTCGCTTTCTGCAGGTCCTGGAAGTACTTGATAAGGTCTGACAGAGTGGTCGTGCTGCTCGAGCTGGAGCTGGAGCTGGAGCTGGAGCTCGCTTTCTGCAGGTCCTGAAAGTACTTGATAAGGTCTGACAGATTGGTCATGCTGCTCGAGCTGGAAGGGCTACTACTACTCGACTTCGAAAGCCCGCCGAAATATTTGCTGATATCGAATCTTCCAGCTCCAGATCCTGCTCCAAGTCCTCCGCCTCCCAACCACGGCCACCCTGGGAATTGCTGCGCAGGGACGGGAGCTGGAGTGGCAAGCGGCATGGCCATGGAGAGTAACGTCACTACCGTAATGCTGTTCCTCATCTTGGATTGCTGGCAACAGGTGGGCTGAGATATCTTTCGCGAACGCTGACGAGTGCTTCGCAGGGAGAACGGTAGTAGAGGCAAAGCGGCCGTATATATGCGCATATATTTCGCATCCGCCGACTTTCACAGCTATCTAAGTTGCATGTGGCAAGCATGCGAGCAAGAGCGGAGAGCACGCTTCATGCTGGACTCGACCTGACTTCGGTAATGGAAACTTCTGACCGTGCTGAGCAAATGCTTGCATTTATTAGATGTGCTTCAACACTGCTCATGCATCAAGCCTTTGATGGCGGCTGGCCGACGGGGCGCCTGTGGTTTGGAGGCCGAGATCTGCAGCAAGCTTCATGATATTGACATCATGATGTCCAAGGTGGGCGAAGGGTTTCAGTCTCATGCCAACTTCTTGATTCTCTGATTAAAGACAGTCTGCGGTCCTATCGATCAAGTTTGATACAATCCCATACGGAATATCTCCATCGAATGTGGCCTCGTCCTTGTGGGGGGGGGGGGGGGCTGATCGCGAGTCTTATGATGCAGAATCTTCTCGCGAAGCTTGGCGTTCAGCAAAGGCTGGGCGAATCAACCGATGCGCCGGTCAGGTGCTCTCGATGCTAGCGACTATGAGGCGAACTATTCATCGACCTTCGTATAGCTAGGAAGTCCAGTCTGCGAGCCTTCGAAAGTGTGACATGCATGGACGATTCACAGAGTCCTTGTCACGATTGCGGAAATCACTGCGGGAGCCGCATGGTGGGGAAGCAACTTGATGCTGCCAAAGGAGCCTCGGTTGAAGGCTTTCTCTGGTCGATGAAGGCCTACTTTGGCTATGTATGCCTCTGACAACCTTTGCGAGAGCACCGATGAGCTCGGCATGCCGCTCATGCGGATCTGTCCGTCGGTTTTAGGCATGGTCTTCAGACAGAATGCTACTGGTCCAGGCGCGGCGTACGATGAGCTTGATCAGGCAGGCTGTCCGTAAAACTGCCAGGGAAGGAAGTCCTTTGCGTCCTTTGGCTCTATTCATCACACGCGATCTTCGAATGTGTCCTGGATCCATGCTGTGGTGTCAATTGAGTTCGGTGAGCGTCAAGGAATCCATGCTATAAGGTCAATTGAATTTGCTCGGCATATCAAATGTTCTGTGCTTCGAAGAGGAGGAACAGCTTCTAGGCTGTACTCCTGGCCTCGTGATAGCCACCTAAGGGGCAATCGTGTTTCAGATATTGCCTCGATTTGACGGCGTCAGAGTCCTAGACATTTGCCCATCATCAGACCATTGACTGGACCGTTCAGGAGAATTCATCAGCCCTCTAGCCGCAGTATCCGTACCGCATTGTCACCCATGATATCCTGTGCGGTCTTGGTGTCATTGCCCAAGGCTGTCTGTATCGCGGCCATGTTAGACGTCACACTTAGCCATTGGTCATCCTCGCCTTCCAGCGGAGGGAAGAATGGGTGATCTGTGCCAAACAGGATCCTGTAATAAAAGTCAGTCAAGAAACCAAACCAACCACCAAGGGACCTCTATACGTACCGTTCTGCTCCAGACGCATCGATTGCGGCCTTTAGTCCAACGTCAGCATAGACGACTGCGTCAAGGTAGATGTTATTCTTCAGAACTTCCCACACGTCTCTGCGGCCAGAAATCTTTCCCTCCTTCTTCAGATGTGCATCGTGCGCTATACAGCTCTCGATCCTACCAGCCAGAAATGGGAGTGTACCGCCGCTATGTGCTAACAACACGTTCAGTTCCTGGAATCTATCGAAAATACCAGACAGAATCATTCGTGTCACCGCGATCGTGGTCTCAAGCGGAAAGCCCATGGCGAGAGGAAGGACATGGCCATATTCACTATTTCTCGGCCCGAATACTTCGCTCGGAAGCCCATAGTGAGGGTGTAGGAACACGAGCATCTCGTGCTTCTCAAGAGCCTGCCATATCGGATCCAGTTTCGGGTCGTCCAGTCCTTGTCCCAGTCCTGAAGTACCAATCACCACGCCCCGACAATGCTTCAACGACGACAATCTCTGAATTTCATGCACGACTTCGTCGGCGCTTGCGCTGAGAGGGAGGGTCGCAAAGGCATACAATCGGCCCTCATGGTCGGCACACATTTTCTCCACATCATCGTTGACGAGTCTTGCAGTCTTTGCAGCTTCTTCGGCCGGAAGCCAGTCGAGCCAGGGATTTGCCAGTGATATTACGGAGATGTCGATCTGGTGGAGGTCCATGAATGCAATTTTATTTGCGACGTCAAAGTATTCTGGTCCAATGGGACGCCCTCGAGCCGTGCTGCCTGCTTCTTCCTGTGGAAGGATGACAAGACGTTCCCCGGAGGCCGGATCATCTTCGAATAGTCGCACGTATGGAACCTTTTTTCGTGCTCGCAATATCGACATCAATGCCGGAGGGTACATATGTGTGTGGACATCAACGGTAGGCATCTTGAAACTTCGCCCGATCAAGAATCGCCCGGTTGGCTGATGGTCGTTGCACGGCTCCGAATTTGAATAAATTTCAAGGCCCAAGCAGGCGTGCAACTTCTTTGAAGGTGTAGGCGCCTATCAGTGGTTCCTGCATCTGTCACCCCACATTCCCCCTCGCAGTTGCCTATCGTGTCTGCCCTTATCTATACGCGCTCCAGACCTTTTATTATATCAGTAGAGACCTTTAGCAGGAGGTGTCGCTGTCCACCTCCGACAACAACTTCTGACTGATGGTTCACTACCTGTATCTACTGTATCTACTACACTATATGTAGCCAATCGATTGTAATGCCGTAGGTCGTGATGCAATAAGTCTATTGCTAAAGGAGGTGGATACAGAAGCGGTATAGTGGCCTTAGCGATAGTGACTACCTTCCCCTGCAATATCAAACCTTCTATCGATCGCTCTACAGTATGCTGAATAATAACACCTTCGGAGGCTCTATACTACTAGCAGTATGTCTATTGTGATATATTACAAGCTCTTAATAATAGTTGAGGTCGTACGAATAATATAGATAGTGTGTAATAGCATAGAAGGTGACGTTGTTAGATGGAAAATTCGAGTAGAAATCGGGCTTCGTAAGGGACTCGGAGGGATAATAAGGCGGCTAGAGGACTCGAAGGCAGGTAGTAGATCGCTCGTCTTCCTATCCTACTAATTTGTTAGCGAATCGAGATTATTATAGCCTTCCGCAATACCTTCGTAGGTCGCTATCTCCCCTCCCCCTATCTACTACCTAGAGTTATCGATTTAGCGACTAGATCTAGTAAATACGCCTCTCCGGCATCTATGCCGCTACTAACTACTCTAGCAAGTCAGTTACGGCTATCTCTATTACCTAGACCTTCGCTATCAATTGAGACCGTAGAAACACTGTCTTAGAAGGGCAGTAGTAATACAGCTTACCTATTAAAGCTAGGCAAGCTATCGGCTCGAATAGAGTTAGTTGTCTTCTAGCAAATGAATAATATAAAGTATGCCTATAAGAAGGGCAATATTACTAACTTCTATCGGCTTATTAGAGGTCGTATAAATGCGTAGGCTCGTGCTAATAGTAAGAAGGAGTTTAGTAGTGATTCTAGCTTCCGACAGAGCTGCAACGTTAAGTTAATTAAGAGGGTAAAGGAACAGGCCGCTAAAGAGCGCTCTACTAGTATAGCGCCTAGTAACGATAATCTCTCGCAAGCGAAGGACTTCTTTATTAAATACGCTATACGTATAAACTCTCAGCTCTTCGACAAGGTAGCGACAAAGGAACAGAAGGAGGCGGCTCGGCGTAAGGAGATCGTTGTCCGCGACAGTCTAATAGACAGGTTAGGCTCGAAGCGACGTCGATTAAATAGCAGCGGCTCTTCTTAGGCGACCTCTACTAAGCCGGAAGAATCTACGCCTTCGCCTTCTATACCGTCGACGACTTAGCGGATGCGACTGCGCCGCCGTAAGCGTAACAATAACGCCTCGATTGATAGAGCGTTCTCGAAACTAAACGAATTGCTGAAACCGCACTTCGAGAAGATTAAGGAGGGCCTAACCGCCCTTAATTAGCACTATATTCGAGGCCTAACTAATAGTTAGAAGAACGAATTACAGCACCTTAATACTACTATTGTAAGTGCTATTATCTCTCTCTTAACTAGCAACTCACTAATATTAGCTAGACAGTAATAGGTATATATCCGGATTGCACTCGAGTGCTATTGCAGGTTATCTACCGTAGGAAGAGCAAGATGCTAATGCTAGAGCCATTCGAGCGCTTACCGAAACTAGGCTTCTTATAGCAGATAGGGTAGTCAGATCGCCACGATTAGGATTAGAATGTAGACGATATTAAGGTCCCCGAGGACTTTTTCGACTCGGAGGAGTAGGTAGTAGTTATTATAGTATAGAGTTCGTTTTGTAGGATTAGTTAAAGCAAATCCCTACTTATTTGTTAGTAATATTGCTCTTTAGTATCGATTTAGCGAACTAGTTGCTCCTGCCGTTGCCTTATTATTCTCTTAATCGCGAGATTATCGCTAGAAATTTAGGAAATAGGAGGAGGGGTAGGGTTAGTAGTATATAACTATTACTTAGTAATAGGTTAACAATATCGCCGAGACATTACGAGAATCGCGCACAGACGCTCTAGTCACCTATTTTCGCTGCTTTCTAGATATACACTAATAGCTCGAAATGTACTCGCTCCTATAGTGCGAGTGCTAAGAATACCGTTAGAATTATAAAGCTATACTTTAACTTCTCGACATTATCGTCGTTCTTCTATTACTATTACTACTACTATTACTATCGCCACCCTCGTCTCCTATCGCCGGCGACGTATACCTATCTCCTTTATCGCCCTTATTACCTCGCTCTAGTCGCGGCGGTCGCTATCCTAGCGGTAGAACCGTCTTAACTAAGGCTCTAATCTCGTCACTAATTTAAGCATTAGTCGCCCTCGAATAGAGGTATTCTTCTAACAATAGTAGATCTATACGACCTATAGATACCTAATTACTATAACAGCAGGTATAGCAGTTAGTAAGAAGAACGCACGCTCGATAGATAGATCTAATAGCCTATAAGTCCGCCTTCTGCTTAACTAAGTTAATCCGCTACAGATTAGATATCTGTCCGAATATATGCTCTATAGCAACCCTTAACGCCGATATCTCTTAGTCTATCTGCCTCTATAGCGGCGTACGAGGCTAACTATTCTAACCTTTGAAAGCAGATATAATACTATCCGCTACTGCGTACGCCGAGTCTCTGTAAATAAATACCTTGTCGTCCAATCCGTACCTATCGAATAACGCATACCAAATCCACTAAATGTTAGATTTATACACTATCCGAGAATCCCCGAAAGAGCTAGGTTTAGGACTATACAGCGACGACAACAGACCGTTAGGAGTAATAATAGCCTAGAATTTAATGCCGTATACTCTCTTGTGTCCGCTATAGTACAGCTTTTAGTCGTACTTAGGCCTACAGCAAGGACGAAGGGTACTATTAATAAATCCACATACTTTAGCAAGACTAATGTCCGGTTCTAGTGCCTCTATATACCTCCGCAAATACTAAGGGGTTAACCGACGAGTATTAAACAATAATCTGTCGCCAAAGAAGTCGTCTAAGTGCTTAAGAACAGTATTAAATATAATACTAATCTAGGTCGGCTCTCTACTAAACTCGTACGCTAGCGACTGCTAAGTAGCACTGCTTGCGAATCGCTATAGAAGCACTAGCAACGCCTCTTCCTTAGTAGGTTCTATACGGTATAGATACTTAATCTAGTCTAATTTAAGCAACCTTACGAGCCTATATAGATCCTGCTTTTAGAAGCGAAATCTACGCTTATACTAATCGTTAGTTAGGTCCTACAACCTCGTCCTTTTAAGCCGGTTATAATCGTTAGGATATAGGCTCCTTATTTGATCGCCTTCGTACGCCTCGTCGGCCTCGTCGTCTACGATAATATCGACTACCGACTCGAGATAGGCGCTAGCCGCTTGTCCGACAACTACCTAATAGTCTAGCAATAACTGTCTCACTTAAGCGTCTATTAAGCCTGCGGTTATAGCGACAACACTACTAGCTAAGGTCTATATTAAAGAGCTAGGTTACATTACTGTAGATACGATAACTAAGCAGCCAAGAGGTGGCAAAAGGAGGTTGCTAAACCACTCGGAAGAGCCGTCTCAAATAGGCCTAGTTACCAACCCTAGTGAACACCACTAAATTCTGACACTCGAGATTGCTAAAGGTCTCTAGTGGACCACGCCCGCGCATCTTGTTCTGACCTCACTTGCTTGTAGAAGTAAATCTTCCATCGCACGAGGCCGAACAGAACTCTAGACGATCATTGAACATGAAGCCAGCTGCGGTCAGCTCAGCAGTATCACATGACAGCCTCGAGATACCGTTGATCGACTTCTCTGCTTTCTTGACCGGTGACGAGACAACGAAGCGAACAGTCGCTGAGGCAATTCTGCATGGCTTTCAAAGAGCAGGTTTCATATATCTGAAGAATCATGGAATACCCAAAGAGAAGGTTCAGGGCGCATTTGCAGAATCAGCAAAGTTCTTCAAGCGACCAGAACAACAGAAGTTAGACCTGGGATGGACAACACCGAAGGCCAATCGGGGATACTCACAACCGGGACGCGAGAAGACAACAGATGCAACGGATCCAGCAGAAATCGAGAAGATCCGAGCAGCGGAGGGCGCCGATCTCAAGGAGAGCATGGAAATTGGTAGGGAAGGCGTGCCGGACTGTCCCAACAATTGGCCGGACAAGTTCGACGAGGAAGGCAAGGTCTTCAAGCAGAAGATGTTGGAATTCCACGATCTATGCAAGAATCTGCACCAAGAGATCATGAGAGCCATCGCGGTGGGCTTGGGGATCGATGAGCGATGGTTCGATAGCTTTACGGACGGCGGCGACAACACCTTGAGACTGCTCCATTATCCTGAAGTGAAGTCAGCAGTTTTCCGGAAAAACAAGAACACTGTCCGAGCCGGTGCTCATACAGATTATGGCAGTATAACATGCCTTTTCCAGGTAAGATGCAACTTCCATGCCAGCCACGACGAATCACGGACCTCCCCACGGGCCTCGTGGGTGTGAGTTGACTTGCATTCCCAACAGGCATGAATGTTAGTCATGGAAATCAGACATCCCAGAAGGCCGGCGAACAGCGACGCCACGGGCTCCACTGCCGAACGGCGTTGAGAAGCATTGGCCTCGAATACTCACATGAATGAGCAGAACGTGCAACTGATGAGATTTCCCACAGGACATGGCGGGAGGCCTGCAAGTGCTGTCTCCCAACGGAAAGTACGTTGATGCAACGCCAATCGAAGATAGCGTGGTGATCAATGCTGGGGATCTGCTTGCTAGATGGAGCAACGACACGATCAAGAGCACAAAGCATCGCGTTGTTGAACCACCGACTTCGGCTGATACTCATCCGGCCCGTTACTCGATTGCCTACTTCTGCAACCCCAACTTCGACCAATTCATAGATGCGATACCCGGCACATACGGGGAAAGCAGGGGCAAGAAATATGAAGGGATAAACAGGTTAGTGCACATTCCACGATGTTCTGCAAATTGGAAGATGTTGACGAGCGAAAGTGGGGAGTATCTCGAACGTCGGCTGGCCGCGACGTACTGAATGCAGCGTGCGGATTTCGTGTTGCAAATGCGGATGTCGGAGTTCGTGCGCAGGTAGTTCTACTGTGGGCCGTGATCGGAGGCGGGCGCGTGACCTGTACGCAGCAATCAAGAGAGTCACGCGGTTCGAAGCATATTCCGAAATAATTGGCATGTGGCCCTCGGCCATGTCTTGGCCGGCGGGCAGCATTGTGGAAGGACTGAAATGGTTCAGCAAAGTCGGGGCTGGTGACTCAATCGCGCCCTTGAATGGCGTGCAGAGTTCCTTAGCTCCATATGAAAAGGTATGCCTCCGGAGTGTGTCCAATGCGGTGCGACGTGCTACGAGAGACGTAGACACCAACTCAGTGGAAGCACGAGGCCATTTCGCCATGGCATGCTGCGGGGTTGGTGTTGTCGCATCGCATCGCACCCCAGACGTCTATTCTATTCTACCGTATGCGCAGTCACCACGGAGCTGAGTCGAGATTTGCTACGGCTTTCGAAAAATGGATGGGGCCATGGTAGCGTGATGCGCGCGCGCGGCGAATGTTCCGTGGCTATTTGCGTGGTGAAAAATGGGTTGATGATGAGGCTAGAGCATACTACTTACATACTACCTTACATCATGCAGCGCAGCAAGCTGGACAAGCATCAATAAAATTCCTGAATAGACCTCCTCCCGTTTGCCTTTGCCTTTGCCTTTACTCACGCCTTCTCGTGTCATCAGTCGTGTTTGCGCCTGCCTGACCCGGCCATTCCATTCGTCATTCGCCATTCGTCATTCGTCACTCGTCATCGTCACCGGAGTCCACATCTCGACGAGTCACGAGCCTGCCGGCCGAAATTTCTGACCCGACATCACAATGCCCGCCAAGATCTTCGCCTTCGCGGCCCCCAGCTTTTCTTTGGAAACTCCTCTCGCATCCAAGAAATCCAGCACTGTGGGACAGAGCCATCCATTGGCAGTGCGGAGGCCGAGTATGGACCACATCAAGCGCCCAAATTTGCTCTTGTCAAAAAAGCATTCTTCCGAAAAGAAGTCCAAATCGAAAGATCGAGCTTCGTCTAAGGACAAACACGCGAAAGATGCATCTCCTTCGCCCGCACCGAAGCCCATCCAGCTCGGCATGATCATGGAGTCGCCACCCGTCGTCATGATCGATTCTCCCCAGCAATCTTCTGGCGCTTTGATCTCCGGACGTATCCAAATCACCCCAATCCTCGAGGAAGCAACCCTGGCCAGCGTGACGTTGTTCCTGGAATGCACGACATCAACAAAGCGACCTGTGCAGGACAAGTGTCGCGACTGTTTGTCGAAAGTACGGGACCTCTACGAGTGGAACTTTCTCAGCAAGCCAAAGAAGTTCAGGAAAGCCGACGGCGTCCATGAGATTCCCTTCTCGCAACTCCTTCCCGGCCACCTCCCTGCCACCACACATGGCACTATCGGAAGCATTGACTACCAGCTGCACATGCGCGCCAAGTCTGTCGATGGCCACGAGATAGAGTTCCGGCGAGAGCTCGTCATACAACGTGCTCTCCGACCGGGCAATGATAAGAACAGTGTGCGTGTATTTCCACCTACAAACCTTACGCTTCATGTCACCCTCCCGAATATCGTTCATCCACTCGGCGAATTTCCTGTGACCTGCCGCATGGAAGGCATCGTTTCCTCCAAGAAGCTAGACACTCAAACCAGGTGGAAGCTCAGAAAGCTCACTTGGCGAATCGAAGAACACGAGGTCAGCGTGTCGCCTGCGTGCGCCGATCATGCGAGCAAAGTCGGTGGCGAAGGCAAAGGCGTCCAGCACGAAAGCACTCGCGATGTCGGAATGCAAGAACTGAAGGAGGGCTGGAAGACCGATCTAAGTAACGAGCAGATTGAAGGCGAGTTCATGGCCAGTCTCAATGCTGCCATGAAACCCCAATGCGATATGACCAGCGCCAATGGCATGAAGATTAGCCATAACTTGATCCTGGAACTGGTGATTGCAGAAGAATGGGCTCCAAACAAGAAGCCGCATCAAGCGACACCCACGGGTGCTGCCAGAGTTCTCCGCACACAGTTCGCTTTGAACGTCACTGAACGCTGTGGCATGGGAATTGCCTGGGACGACGAAATGCCTCCACAATACGACGACGTTCCGGCTAGTCCGCCGCATTACCAGAACGAGCGCACGACCGTCCAGATTATCGACCGAGATGAAATCCACGGCGATGTAGAACATCTCTCCTTGGACGACGCTGCACCTCCTTATGACTCTGGCTATACTAGTTATGCATCCAGTTCCCACACCGCGAGCGGCAGAAACTCTATGCATCAAGAGTAGCTCCGTCCGGTCTCGCACATGAAACGACCGAGGTCAACGGTCAACCACGAGCTTGCACCACTTGTTGAATAGCGAATCGCGAATTCACCATTTTCGACCACATCACGCAGCATTAGCGTACCATCACACCGTCAATGGCGTAGATGACGGCTTTCACGGCCAAAAGCATTCGAGTTTTCTTCATTGATTCTCATTCCCTTTACGGCATCATTGGACAAACAGCACAGCGAAAATTTTGGGTGGGCTGTGGATTCCTGCTTTACGAAGAGATACCCGAGCCAAAATCGGTTCTAATCATTGGGGAGGCGGCACGAAAGGAAAGCATTCAACTCTTATTGATTTATATAGCGAAGGCGCCAAAGGACCAACGGGATAGAAAAGTTAGGCATTCATTCCATCCACAGAAAGAACTTCACACATTGCTCGAGATATTTGACGTTTCGGCAAATTGAAAACCTTCTGCGACTCAAAAGCTCTCCATATTTCTATTCGATTGAACGCTTCCAGGTCTACTCACTAGAGATCAGAAAAATGTGAGTATCTGCTCCCACTGCCTGTACTTCGTTTGAGAAGTGTCACATGCGACGCTACTCTCAGACACCCTTTTCCAACCCAAGTGCTACCCGGGCTCTTTATCCGCGTCTGCAGCCTCAGGGGCCTTGCTAGCTCGACGATCGCGGTCTCGACTGTCTTCCCGCCTCCTTTCGCGCTCGCGCTCTCTGTCTCTGTCTCGTTCACGATCTCTATCCCTCTCGCGCGAACGGTCTCTCACGTTGCGGTCACGACTGCGCTCTCTGTATCTATCCCTGCTGCGATCTCGATCTCGTGAACGGCTCCTCTCTCTGCGTCTGGTCCGCTCGCGGTCGTCATCAGCTCTCGCAGAACTTCCGCCACCAGGGATGTATCGATCAATTTCGGAGCCTCGTCCGCGATCTCTGTCGCGATCTCGATCCCGGTCATCGTATCTCGCGCGACGTCTTGGCGCAGTTCTCTCGTCACGAATGATCGAATTTAGATGATCCTCATCGACTTCACGTGGCTCGCGAGGCCGACGAGACTGAGAACGCTCTTCGCCGTCTTCGCGAGGAGGCCGTCGTCGCGGTTGATCATCATCGTCATCCCGTCGTCGTGGCATGTTACGCTCGTCGCGAATGATCCTATCAAGATGATCATCATCCCGAGGACGTCGGCGAGGTGCTTCATCATCCTCGTCCCTTCGGCGACGTGGAGCCTCCTCGTCATCTTCCTTGCGCCGACGGGGAGCTTCATCGTCTTCCTCCTTGGCCTGTCTGCCCGAGCCTGGGATGTATCTGTCGATGCCAACTGGGCTACAGCTGCGGTCACGATCGCGATCACGATCCCGGCGACGATCTCTGGACTCGCGTCGACGATCTCTGGAATCGCGTCGACGTCGAGAGGGAGAGCGTGATCGTGTTCTCTCGCGGTAACGTCGGCGTGGAGGACTGCGACTATCATTGTTGCGCCGTGCGCCAGCTGGACGATAGTTGTTCTCCCTGGACTCGCGCGGACTCCTGCTACGAGCGGCACGTTCGACCACTTCGCCCTCATCACGGTCATCTTCCCGCTTTCTTGTATCGCGGGCTCTGTCTCTATCCCTTTCTCTCTCACGATCCCGCTCACGTTCACGTTCACGGTCTCGATCTCGCTCTCTGTCTCTTTCGCGACTCCTATCTCGGTCACGACGGTCAGCCGGTCCGCGTTGCCGAGCTTTCCAGGCCTCCCGCTCAGCACTAATGTCGCGGTAGAGAGATTCTCGTCGGTCGCGGCCTTGACGTCCATCAACAGAGGATTCGCGGCGTCGGTTGCTATGGGTAGACCGAGCAGGCGACGGAGAGCGCTGTCGTGCTTGCCGCTCACGGTCTTTTCTAGGACCTGTCGGAATGGCGGGAGTACCTTCCTTCTCCGCCTTTTCGCCCTGTGCTTTGTCGCCCGGCTTGTCACCTTTGCGCAGGGTGAGTGAAGTTGGCAGCAGGCCTTGAGCACGCATTGCGTCTTTGTTTTGATTGTCCTTGGGTGCCCGCTGGTGCTTGAGTCTGGCTGGTGGTTCCATGCTCTCACTTCGTTCCAACTCTGGCCGCCTCGCCTTCTCCGCCATCTCTTGGCCTTCTCGAAGAAGCAGGTCAAGAGCCTCAGCTTCCAGTCTCTTCTGTTCGCGTTCCTGCCTCTCCTTCTGCCGCCGCTCGCGTTCCTCCTGTAGAGCCTTCTCCCGCTCCTCTGCTTCCTTCTTGGCCTTCTCGCGCTCTTCATTGAACTGCTTGATGCGCTCGCGCTCGCGTTCCTTCTCTGCCAGCTTCCACGCATCACGCTCGGCTCTCCTCTTCTGCTCGCGTTGTAAGCGTTCAGTCTCCTTCTGCAGAGCTTCCTGTTTCTTCTTCAATGCCTGAAGTTCCTTCTTCTTCCGATCCTGCGCCTCCTTCCGCTTGCGCAGCTTCTCATCCTCCATGAACTTCTTAGCACGGTCCTGACGGCGTTGCTCTGCTTCCGCCGCGTATTCTGCATCGGTCTTTCTGCCTCTGCGAATTTCCTCCTCCACGGCTTCATCGCCAATCTCCTTGCGTCTGATGTCACGTAGAGCACGCTCCGCACTCGCCATGAACTGATCAATATAAGCATCAATATCGGCCTCGGTCTTCCCGTAGACATCAGCGCGGGCTGCTGAGCCCTCCAGTAATGGCGCGGCGATACGTTTATCTGGCCTCAGGTATTTCATCGGATCGCGGTCGATCTCTGCGCTGGTAAATGTGCGTAGCGCAGCCTCGAACATACCGCGCTCCGCCGACTCATTGTACTGTTGAATAGCCTTCTTGCGCAGCACATCGAATTCGCCTTTCTTCTTGAAGGTGTGAAGCATGCTATCGATCGCATCGTGTTGTGCGCCGCTCAACGGTAATTCCTGGATTTTCGGTCTCTTGCGCGCCGGCAGCTCGAAGTCGTCTGTGCCAGACATTACGACATCTAATGTGGCCATATCGGCGGCGATGGTGTTGGTGTTATCGGATTATCTCATGCTCATGCTTGCCAGGGACTCAGAGAGAGACGCGAATTGGCGAATTGGAGATGCGGCGGCGATGGCAGGGGCTTCGGCTTCGGAAACAACCGCACTTCCCGCGGCATGGAGGGTCATCGGCCAGGGCAGCAGCGAGTATTTGCATTGCACTTGCGCAACTCGTGTGACAATCATAATCCTCACCACCAAACACGGCGAGTAGCAAGGGCAGGCTCCCATTCGGCTCACATACACTCGTCAGCGAGCCGTCTTCTCATCACTGCGCGCCTTCTCCGGCTATCTCGTCACCATGGTCAACAAGATCCTTTTCTGGTCAGTATGTCTAGCTCAATACACAGCAAAAGCTGACATCCACATAGGTCTGGCTTCGGCCTCGCCGTCAGATTCTGGCAGCTCGGCATCGAGATGAGACCCTTCTTCCAACGTGAAAACTGGATTATATACCCCATCTACGGCACTCTCGGCGCATCATTTGGCTACTGGTTACAAGGAGTGGAGAACAACCAGATGCGATACCTAGGCGATGCGAGACAGAGGCTCATTGAGAAGCGACGGAGGAGACAAGAGCGTGAGGCTTTGAACGAGGGCAGCAACTGGCAGAAGAACCAGGAGGGTGCTGTGGCATCGGAGGCCGGTGCGCACGCGTAAAGCGCTGCTATGAAGGCGCATGATCGCGCAGAGCGACGGAACGGCCATGCGGAGGATGCCATGCATGTGCGGGATCGTTGCTGACGCTATAAAGTGCGAAAGGCATATCACGCATATCTAGTGCAGATGTATGCGGAGAGCTGTTTATGAGCTATGCTGCACTTCTGTACGTACTAGATGCTCACGCGGATCTCATGACATGATCAAAATTCCACAGATCAGAATGAGGGACACGTCGCATAGACGTTTTTGATGTATAGAACAATTTCACGAGCGCGGTATGGACCGAATAACAAGCAAGACGCCATTTCCGAGAGCAGACATCCCGCTTTGGCTTCACCTTCTTCCTACTTTGAAACATGCCGCGTGTCCTTGTGAAGATATAAGACCCGGTATTTTCCTTGATATGCAACATATCACCTAAAACTGTGACAATGGCAACTCAGCAGCATGAATTTGCCGTGCATGCTGCCAATGGCTGGCAGCCGAACTGGAATCTTCTCAATGTCCGCTCGGAACCAGGATCTGGAACGTCGACTCCAAGAATATCAGCACAACGTGGCGGGATAGTCGTCTTCTCAGGCGGGAGCGCTGCCAACAGTCTCGTCGACGTGTTCAATGAGATACGAGAAGCAAACAATACTTCACTCAGCTATGTCATCCCGATCTCTGATAATGGTGGCTCTTCTAGCGAGCTGATACGCGTCTTTGGAGGGCCTGGTATGCTCAAACACCCGCAACTCGTTTCATGACTACCTCCGTACATGGACCAGATTTCTGATCATCGTACACAGGGATTGGAGATGTGCGCTCTCGTCTAGTCCGCCTGATTCCAGACGAGGGAGACGAAGCCCAGGCCATCAAGACGTTCTTCAATCATCGCCTGCCCCGAGGCTATGCGCCAGCGAGGGCAGAGTGGCTGGACATTGTCGAAGCGACGCACTCGCTATGGAACGGCATTTCGTCTCCTAAGAAGGAGCTGATCCGCAGCTTTCTCAATTCCATGAACCAGGAAATTGTAAAGCGCCTCCGACCAACAAGCAAGTTCGATTTCTCAGGTGCCAGCATCGGCAACCTCTTCTTGACTGGGTTCGTACAGAGTGTTCCGGGTAGTAGATGCAACTGACAGCAGCAGTGCTCGACTCTTCACTGGTAGCTTCGAGGCCTCTATCTACCTGGTATCCAGCATTTGTGGCGTTCCTTCGACAGTCTCTATTTTGCCTGCCTTGAATACCAACTTCGCTCATCACATAGCAACAGGACTAGCGAATGGCACTATTATATACGGTCAAAACAACATCAGTCATCCAAGCGTGCCCGCCGCTCCAGTAGACCATGTCCCGGTCTCGCCGATGCAAGCACTTCGAGTCGAAACGGAAGAGCACGACAAGGTCGAAGATGCGAACATGCCCGGGACTCTACCTACTCTCAGGAAGCCCGCCATCACGTTTTCCAAAGAGGACGAAGAGGAGCTGCCAGCCCGCATCGAGCGACTCTGGTACATCAACCCTTACGGTCAAGAGATCACCATTCCTGCCAACCCAAGAGTTGTGGAGTCTCTGAGGAACTCATCCTGCATCATTTACAGCATTGGCTCGCTTTTCACCTCGATCATTCCATCCCTGGTTTTGAAAGGTGTCGGTGCTGCCATTGCATCTCCCCTCATCCGAACTAAGATCCTCATCCTCAATGGCACGCTGGACCGCGAGACTGGGCCATCTACCAACCCATTCACAGCTCTAGACTTCATTGCTGCAATTGCGTGCGCATGTCGTGACTCGCAAGGCCTTCCCAGACCAAATGCTGAAGACTACTGGCAGTACGTCACGCACGTCATCTACCTCGACGGCCCGTTGTCCCCCAAGCTGGACAAAGAGGCTCTGAGCAAGATCGGCATTGAGTCACTTCGGGTTTATGGTCGGAGTGACGAGAGTAGAAAAGGCGGCCGTTATGATGCGAGAGCGCTTACCCAAGCATTAGAAGCCGTAATCGGGCGGAAAGACCCCAAAGGTCGGTCGAGACGAAACACTGTGATCACTTGAGCGGCCATTCATGCAGAATTGAGGCACTGGTGGTAACGCACATTCATCTCAAGATCCACGCGACACTTGAGACGCCTCGGGAAAGATCTCCCGCACTAGCAGTGCGCGGCCGCGAGCGGCTCCCCAGGAACAGGAAACAGCCCCGCCGATTGATGACAGAGCTCTTGTAGCTCCGTCCCAACAGTACGGCAACTAAAGTCAAAAAGTTCAAAGACTTGGCTCAGTTGACTTTGTATAAGAAGGTGCTCACAACAAGCAGAGGAAGCAGGATCGGGCATTCTACTTCCAATATGGCATCCAAACCACTCAATGTCGCAGTCGTGGGCTACGGTCTTTCCGCAAAGGTCTTCCACATCCCTCTAGTCCTCGCCTTACCAGACGAGTACAAGCTCTATGGCGTCGTACAGCGATCTCCTAAACCAGACGACGATGCCTCGAAAGACCATCCCGGAATCAAGAGCTGGAGGGCTGTTGACGAGGTCTATGCGGACACAAATGTGGACGTGGTAATCGTTACCACTACGCCAGAGACACATTTTGAAATGGCGAAGAGGTCGTTGGAATCCGGAAAGAATGTGGTCGTGGAGAAGCCATTCGTACCTTCACCTGGGGAGGCCGGCGAGCTTGCGAAGATTGCTGAGAAGAGTGGGAAGAAGTTGACTGTTTACCAAAATAGAAGGTGGGATGCAGACTTCCTCACGTTGAGGAAAATCATGGCTGAAGGCTTGCTGGGTGATATATCAGAGTTCGAAACTCATTTCGATAGGCATCGTCCTGATGCTCCACCTGCGGGATCCTGGAAGAATGAAGACAAGCCAGCGCATGGAAGCCTTTACGATCTGGGCACTCATTTGATTGATCAAGTATACCACACGTTCGGTATGCCAAAGCGAGTGACTGCTTTCATTGGTAGGCAGCGAAGAAGCGTCCCTTCCGGACCACCTGACTCGCACACCGTGCTGCTCCATTACGACGGACCACTGCTGGTAACTGTCAAGGCTGGTGTGGTCAGTCCTGAGGTCGAACAGCTCAGGTACTGGGTAAGAGGTACAAAGGGTAGCTTCAAGAAGGTGTGTGCTGGCAACACTCGTATCTGATTCCGACGAGTGCTAACACATCTGGAATAGTTCCATCTCGACCGCCAAGAAGATCAGCTTCGAAAGGAGAACGTTGGACCAGGACACCCAGAATTCGGCGTGGACCCCGAAAGCCATTATGGCACCCTTATCACTGTCGAGAACGAGAAGGCCACGCCTGTTGTTAAGAAGTACCCTACGATCAAGCCTGCGACTTATGTTGAATACTATCGCATATTTGCGAAAGCGATCAGAGGGGATGGTGAAGTTCCGGTGAAAGCTGAGGAGGCTAGGGACGTGCTACAAATCATCGAGCTTGCGATGTTGAGTTCGAAGGAAGGTAGGACTGTTGATGTGTGAGGAAGTGAACCACATCAAGCACACTTCAGACGGCGACGGTGAGGTGGCATTCATGCAGAACCATCTCTCAAACCACGCCAATGGCTCAAGGACGAAATGTCAAAAGAACACTATCAAGAATATTTGAAGCGATGTTGAGGACTTCGAATATCATGCGCCCTCACCTGCCGTCAGATGCATCATGGTTCGTGCTCATGTGATAGAAGTATAAACGGTCATTCTGCTGCGCACAGATCTTTCTTCGAGCCATCAATAACGCAACTTACGATATCTTACAAACCGCAACCAACTTACCAAGTTTCATCAAGCTGAAGCATCTTACATCTGTCTGGCAGGCAGCGATCATGCAGTCAAACATCGGCATCGAACACTTCAATGCCACGCTCAAGGCCTTGGCCGAAGCGCGGGCTTTGTTAAGTAGGAATACTTGGCCAGTCGAACAGTGTATGCGACGTTAATCAAGATCCTAGCGCTACCAGAAGACACCATCAAGGCCATTGTCAAGCAGCAAGGTGATGGAGCAGTGGAGGGTATCGTGAAGATGCTATTCAAAGAAGCGAGGTATCTCCGTCAGCCAGGAGAGCGTCGATGGATGGATGCAGGAGACGTTATGGAATCGGGAGACTTTGACCAGAGCGAAGAAGCTGCTGGATGCATATTCTCGGAACTGCGCTGGCTCAGCGAATTGCCCACCGGCCCTCAACACGTGTTCGATCTCCTGTTCGAAGATCAGTGGGTTAGAAACGTCGAGCCCGAGAACTTCTGGTGGTGGACTGACCAGCTTGATAAACTGATGCATCACGTTATCATTCAGCAAAACAGGCAGAAGGCCAAAAGATCGGCCGGAGGCGTGGGATCCTCGGCCTTGGATCGACGAGTTGCAGAGATATCGAGGCTACGTCAAGCGCCTGTGCGTCGAATTGGAGGAGGATGGAGAGTATCTCAAGTGCGTGTTCCAGAAGAGTCTGGAGGAACTTCTGGGCTAGGATTCTTCGTCAGAGAATTGCGAAGCATCAGGAGTAACGACATTGAAAGGAGGAGCTCTAAACTCCCACATAGCCAAGCACTCTTCGGTGAATGTCGTTCGAGACTAGGAGGGATTGCCTTCGAATTCGATCACTATCAATTAGAGCATCATCAGATTAACCCAGGCACACTACGAGATTGTGTAGCGGGAGGTTGGGAGGACACATGCAGACTGCATAGATGCTATACTATCTTACAATCAAGCCTCACATCCACCACCAGTCTCTCATTTCAGCGTGTGAGGTCAGGCTGGCTGCCAGAAACACCAGCAGACACTGATGCTGAGTCTGAGTCTGCAACATATCTCTCGAGCGGAAGACCTTGGCTGCTATATGACTAGATAGTCCCACCTACTACCTAGTCTAGGCCGAGAAGGACATTGGTATCGCGGAACGGCTGGAAATCATCCATAGAATGCCCAGAGCCAGTCTGCCGTCAATTCTGGCACCCAGCATGGTCTCCTGTCACTTTGAGATTGGATGGGATGCCTCACTTCAGTAGGTGTCACATGCACCTAGTCAAAGAGGTATTTTGCTTCGGTGCGTCACTTCTTCTTCCACGTACCCTTCAAATCCGCTCTTAGTCTTATCTCCAACCTTCGAGACTATAAGACATCGTCAGCATTACAACCGCGACCAGTCGCAGAGGGCAACATTCCAAGATGGCTTTCGACTCAAACGACGAGCATACGAAGGCACTGATTGAGACGCTTGAGGAGCAGCGGCATCTTCTTGGCAAGAGATCTCCGACAGCGAACAGGTGCACGATGCTGACGTTGATGTAGAGCTTCCTCGTGCCACTCTGCAAGCAATTGCTGCACAACGAGGCGAACCATTCGTGCAAATACCCCGCCGATGAGTGCTATTCGTACATTCACGGACCAGCTCCCAATCGCTGGAAGGATCGTTACGACAAGCTCGACTGGTATACATTCGTAGAGGATTCAGAGATGATCGCGAAGCTGCCATCCGGTCCCGAGCGGCTGTTCGGCGCAATCATGCCTTTCCACGAGGGACTTGATTCCTTCATGGCCGACATGGACTTCAAGGACTTGGAAAAGCATGCCACGATTCTCATTGATCTGATTCTGTTCCTGGCTTGGCATCAAAACAAGCAACAAGCCCAGCAAGGAGTGGTCTGGCATGGGCACGGCTGGGCCTCGTCTTTGGAGGACTCGCAAGCGTGGTACATGGAAGAAGGTCTCCTAGGGGACAAGGATCACGGGCAGTGGAGGCTATGGACTCGCTTGTTCGAGAGAAGTCTGAAGCTGCTTTCCGAATGAGTCGTTTCGTTCCCACGATTCCGGACTGAATTCAGACTGCAAGCCATTACCATATTGCCAGAGAATATTCTAGACAGGTGCAAAACGCTCCTCGTCTAGTCTCGTCTCCTCGATCCAGCTCTCTTTGACCCAGTCCTCAGTCACAATTCTAGGTAGCTTACTTCTAGAAGAGACTGCTTTGCGAATATCCGCAAGGCTCTGGCTGCCCTGCTGAACGACAACTTGTGTGATATCCTCATCTTTCAATGTCTTGGCGAGGTCACCACCAGCGAACTCATACAGCCTTATGCTCTCTCGAGGTATACTTGGTTCGATGTATGCTTTCGTGCCGCGGAACATGAATCCAGCGAGGGCATCGAGCTCGTTGTTCTGCTCATTGAGTTGTTCCAGGATTTCGAGAGGCTCATATCCGTCTTCAACCTTGGCTGGCATTTTATTGCACAAAGCGAGGAGGCTGGAAGGCGTGACATCGCGAGCATAGCTGTCACCATACTCGTCAACGTTGTCATCGAACTTGCCTTGGTCAGCAGACTGCGTATATTCAAGGTGGTGCGGCTCGAGAGGGAGGAGCAAAGTCGGTCTTCCAACGTCTAGTTCGCTCTGCTTGATGCAATCGAGTAGCCAGCTTGGCTTAACGATGTTTCGGTTGTCGCTCTTTTTCACCGAGGCGACCTTGACTACATTCCGATCAGCAACAAGAATGGTTTTAGGATCCTTGTGTGATGCCACAATCTGGCCACCGTTCGCTTTGACAAGTTGTTCGAGCTCGGCTTTGCTCTTCTTGATCGGCTTCGGGGCTTCAGTCATGATGAAGAAGCTCAGACCTTCGAAGACTTTTGTCACAGGACCGGCGTAAGGTGTCTTGAGGTCGCCTTCTTCTTGGCCCTGAATCACGATCTCCTTCTTCCGCTTCTTTGTCTTGCGTCCTCTCCGCGACTCGTCCATCTTCATCTTTTTCTCCTCCTTCTCATTCTGTGCTTTGGTCTTGAGCTCAATGAAGTCGTCGTGTGACAGTGCCTGCTGCCAGGACTTGTCAGTCCGCAATTTCTTGAACCTTGGAAAGCGTAAGGTGAAGCCGCAAGCGAATTGGTCAGAGGCCCCAACCGATGCGGCTTTCACGCTCACGACGAAGGAGTCTTCGGGCTTGATCCAGACATCCGGTCTCTCATACTGCTTGACCATGCCTCCGCCAAGTTCGACCCAGTCAAATGGAGGTTTCTTCCGATCCCAGTCGTTCCACTTGCCTTCGGTCATGTGTTTGATCTGCGCGTAATCGCTGGCGCTGAAGCCTCCTCCGACTTTGAAGAATGACAGCGTCTTTTGAGGGTTGATATCTGGCTGGATCTCTTTCTTTTGGCTGGGCACATAGAGTCCGCACAAAAAGCTGCTCAGACCCCCACCGCGCTTGCCAGAGCCATAGTAGCCTCCCACGACGATGCAATCGAGTGATTCGCCGAACTCGGTCATGTACTCTGGCTTGACTTTGATCCAATCGTCATTACGTGCATTCAGATGATACAGTGATCGAGGATTCTTGAGCACAAGGCCCTCGCTCGCCTCTGCCACGACTCGCCGTAGAGTTTCGTCCACTTTTGATGCAGTCTTTTCTTCTTGATATTCATGGATTTCAATCCGACGACGGACATTCTTGATACTGCATTGCAACGCATTTCGGCGATCGCGAAGGGTGTAGCGTGTCAGGTCTTTGTCATTGAGATATAGGCAGTCGAATACTCTGTATAGAGGCCGATTACCATCTGCGAAAGGATTCTGCTGCTGCTCGATGGCGGCTGTTTTCAGCGTGCCGAAGGTGACTATAGCATCCAGCTGAATGTCCCACGTGATCATCTCGCCATCAAGAATGATGTTACGAACGCCTGACGCGAACGCGTCCTTGATATGTCGCGTCAAAGCGGAGTGGTCGTCCTCAAAGCCGCTGCCGTACAGATAAGTGTAATCTTTCGCCTTTCGCGACCAGAAGCCGAAGCGCACACCGCCCGGGTGGTCATCGTCCTCCATCACGTGCATCTGCATGCGTTCTCCGTCAAGCTTTTCTTCAATCCAGAACACAGGATCTTCGTCCGTCGTGCCCATTTTCGCGACCATGTGCTCGGTCGAGCGCATCTGGAAGGCAGCGAGCTGTGGCTGGAAGCATTGCATCAAGCAAATCCCGCGACTCTCGCCCTCCAAGCGCACTGCAGGATCATAAAGCTCCCAGCAGACGCGTCTCAGACTACTTGAGATATTGAAGAGAGTCTCTGCATCCGGGTGCCAGATTTCGAAGAAGGTCTTTTCCGTCGCACCGACCTTCATCTGACGAAGAATCATGCGAACGAGCCACATCATTTCTTCGGCGTTCATGCGACTGTAAAACTGCTCGAGAATTGGCAGCTGATTTTCTTCCTTTTGTGCAACCGCCAGACGATCAAGACGCTCGTTGACTTCAGCAATGGTCATGTCGCCAGGTGTTGTGCGCATAGGTCGCTTGCTGATGACCTCAAAACAGCGGCCTGCAAAGTCTCCGGCCATGGCACTCGTCGAATTCAGGCCCGGCTGTTTCCAGTGCGTGAGATTCCGACCATCATCGCTGTTCTTGTCAATTTTGAGAATTTTGACGAGAAGTTTAGCGATGGTCATCTCTTTGAGTCCATACATGCCTCGATCACGGTCCTTTTCGGGAACGATGAGACGCATGGCGGGATAGATGTCGTCGCCGACTTCCTTCCGCCACCGACTGATGAACCTGTCGATGATCTGGCGTCGCACTTCATTTGGAGCTTGACTCGGTCCGCCATAAGAGCCCAGCTTCTTACGGGCAATTGCTGGCCCGGATGGCTTCTTTCTGTTGTCGTTGAGAGGGTTGAACAGGGTGAAGAAGAGATCGCGAAATGGCAGAGTTCGGGAGTGATTGTGAGGGCGATTTGGATACTTCTCGTCGAGTTCTTGTTCTGTCATCGTGCCACGCCCATACATCATCTTCTCTTCTTCGAATGCCTCTGGGCGCTGCATTTCCATGTCGCGTCGCGTCGCGTCGCGCCATGACGCGGCGTGTGTGCCAGGCAGGTCCGTGAAGAGGGATGCGAAGAAGGAGCGAGCGAGCGAGATGGCGAACCTACCTGCTGTGTACGCTTCCCAGGCATCCGCGGCCTCCAAGGCACCCAAGGCATCGACTGTCTCAGCGAGTTCACACGCGGGCAAAGCCACTTGCGGCTGCCGGGCTGTGGATGCGACACGCGACTGCCCCTGCTCCTGCCCTTGCTCCTGCCCCTGCTGACTACGACAAGGATGCGATGGCGATGGGCGATGTTTTGGCGGCGGGCTTGTCGCGGCTATCGTGACCTGAGGGAGCTCAGCCTTCAGCCTTCAATTACTGCTGTCAGTGCCGTGTTTGAAGCGAAACACGGTCAATCGTCTGCAACGATAATGGTCGTGTGCGTTTCCTCTCGCACTTCCTCATGCGCCCACGCCCACGCCCGCGCCCGCGCCTGCGCCGCCCTCGATGCGCTATAAACATCCGTCCAGAGCTTCCTCGGTAGCCAGCGTCGACACCACCACGTCCACATCCACCGCCGCGGCCATCGCCAGCGCACAGCAGAATGCCGCTCGACTGGGTGCCAGCCTGGCATTCGGCCGTGCTCCGCCTCGAGAACGCGCCCCGACACAGACGTACATAGGAGGCAGCAATGGAGCACTTTCCGCCGCCAATACTGCCAACATCACGGCACCCCCATCAAATCCGCCTGCTGTCATGGAAGAGAGAATGCCGAACCTCAGCCTGCCCAAGTGCCCCCCTTCTCAGCAGGCCGCTGTATTGGCCGCGGCACGTGCCAAGCCGTCATCAGTCGTATCGACCCAAGAGAACTCGGCCAGCCCTCGCACTGCGGCGGTCCAGAGACCAGCCATTGCACCCAAGCCGCGCCGGCTGAGCGAGCACTTCAGGAAGAATGAGAGTGTGCATGTGAATGATACCGCAGACCGACCTACAGACAGCACTCCTCTACCTCCCACTGGCGCTCTGGTCAATCTTTTCGAGCAGAGGCTCAAAGCTGCGAACGAAGCAAGCCCCGCCAACAGACCAGAACCGCTCTTTATCAAACCAAGCCGGGAGCTCTCGCTGAAAAGTCCAAAGCCTGTGAGATCAGCCGGGATTACCTCCATGTTTCAGCTGGAGATAGACGAGGCCAAGAGAAACATCGAGATCAGCCCAGACGCTGTGAAGCAGATTCGACGTGACTCCGTGCCAGGCAGACATGCTGGAAGCTCATCCGACGACTCTTTTGCGTCTGCATCAGAAGATCTGAACGTTGACAGGGCGCCGGCGAGCCTGCCTAGGTCCACAACCAGAGCATGGAGTCCATCTCCCTCTCAACCGCTGAGAGCTGGCTTGGAGGAGAAGCGACGACCCTTGCAACCATCACCATCACCAGTGCGTCACACTGCGAACCGTCCGATGCCCATCAAACAGCCACAGCGACCAAGTAGCCCTGCTTCAGATGTCATGTCCGTGACCTCGGCGCCATCCTTGCGAAGCATACCTGCGCAGTTCAATCAAGCTCATCCTCGGCGAATGACACCATTGAGGACGGGAGATGATCTTGCAAATGCGCTTGTTGCATCGAGTTTGGCCTCATCTCGTGCCCCAAGTCCAACACGACTCGAGCCTCCTCCTGTACCCACCCGAAGAAAGAGGGGCCACAGTCACAAGCTGTCCTTTTCTCGAACTCCAAGCCCGGCAAAAGTTGGCATGCTTCATACGCTAAGGAACTATGACGGTGCTTCGTCTTCCGAGTCAGAGGACGACAAGCACCCGTATCGCAAACATCAGAAGAAGCGGCTGATCAGGAAACATCCAAATAAGCATCATGAAGGCGAACGGAAACGTTGGCGAGACGCTATTACGGAGCGCGAGAGGAAGCGCTATGAGGGAGTATGGGCCGCAAACAAGGGCCTTTATTACTCGTTCACCTACCAAGAGCAGACTTTGTTACGTCAGCAGCCGGATCATCCTAAAGTGCAAGAACTACAGGCAGCGGTGAACGATCAAGTATCAAATATAGTTGCGCGAGATATATGGAGTAGATCCCGGCTGCCTCAGCCGACACTGGAGATGGTATGGGATCTGGTCGATCACGACAGCGTCGGCCGCCTCCAAAAGGAGGAATTCGTGGTGGGAATGTGGCTGATCGATCAACGTTTGAAAGGACGCAAGCTGCCCGTGAAAGTTACGGAAAGCGTCTGGGCAAGTGTCCGAAGCATTGGCATCAAGGTGAGGAAGAAGGCATGAGGCATGTTTGCATCATTGTATGGAATTCATCGACAGGCGTTTCACTGGCGTTTACGGCTCCCGGGATTGAGAAGGCATTGACTCGCGGCGATACCCACCACCATTGATTTGAAGACGTGAAGCCTGTAAGTAGAGCCTAGTGTCCTGTAATACTATGTACCAGCTTACTTTACCTACCTACCTACCTACCTAAGACGAGAGGGCGGGGACTTTCCTGGTCAAGGTTGAACAGCTGTCCCGTGATTCCGCTCTCAGCAGAAGGAGGTCGCAACGAAGCTCTGATTGAGCTAGCTCGATATCTCTACGCGCTACAATAACTCCTGCAGGATGAGCTCAAGTGCCACTTCCAAGCGATGCCACTGCCTCTAATCCGGCAGTCTTGGACTGATCTCCCAACGGATGACACGCTTACTTGTTACATAGCAAGCAAAGAAGTTGTGCGCATCATCACAATCGCGTTTGATAAGGACTCTGGGAAGGCTCGTCACAAGCTCTATACCAAGCTTCAAACCAAGCTTCAAGACATCCGCTAGCGGCCGACGGTCAACGTCAACTCCTAGCGAAAGGACACGCGAATTCGATCATGTCCATCGTTCGCATTGCCAAGTCCATCTACGGGACGGCTCTCCTCATAGAGCAGCAAGCCAAGCATAATGGCGTTCCCGAAGCAGTATCTATTGAGGACCACTGGTCTCTTGCCACAGCTTCGAATGGCTCCGTGATGCAAGCTGCACGAGACAAAATGGCAAGGACAAAGACCATATACCTCCACGCCGCTGAGCCCCGCTGATGTGTTGCAAGCTACAAAAAACTCATCTCCTTCATATGATGACACAAGGTCCTTTGTCCGCTCTACGAACACTAGGATCGGCTAATCTCGACACGATCGGTCTTGGATTCATTATTCGCCACAAGATACAACACAAGGTCCCTTTCGAAGGCAGCATCTCCTACCAGGCCCTTTCACAACAATGCTCCGTCCCGCTACCGCTTCTCAAACGACTCCTGCAGCAGGTCATGACGACTTTCGTCTTTGCGGAGGACTCTTCGGGCAATGTCACTCACACGGTCTTCTCCCGCTTCCTACGAGATAATGCGTACATTCAATGCCAGTTCCAAGCTGATATGGACGAGTCCTGGAGGCCTTCTACGAAAGTTGTAGACGCGATCTCAGATCCCGTCGGAGTGGTGGAGGATACGATCAAAAGTGCTTGGGGTCTGGAGAATAATGCCACGGTGCCGTTCTTTCAGGAACTGGAAGCCAATCACCCAGAGCGCGCGGAGAAGTTTGCGCAGTTAATGGTGTTTTATGCTGGAATGGCGAAGGCTGAGCCTGCCTACGGTAAAGAACTACGATTGGAAGTCGTTTCCGGATGGGGCGAAAGTTGTGGATGTTGGAGGCGGAAAGGGAACGCTGAGGATTTCTCTTGCAGAGGAATTTCCCAATCTGGACTTTGTTGTTCAAGATCTCCCAGAGACTGTCGCCGAGGGAGAGAAGGCTAAACTGCCTGACACTGTCAAGGACAGAGTAACATTCCAAGCGCACAATTTCTTCGACTCTCAACCTCAGCGCGATGCGGACGTCTACTTCTTCCGTGTGCTGTCTTCCACAACTGGATAGATAAGGATTGCGGAAGAATACTATTGGGCCTGATCCCAGCGCTGAAGAAGCGTGCAAAAGTGGTGATACAAGATCCGTATCTACCCGAGCCGGGCACTGTTGGAGAATGGAAGCAGAGGAACCTTTTGGCTGCTTCGCTAAGGATGATGATCTTTTTTCAATTCTTACGATCGAAATGAGGAGGAATGGAATACTTTGTTGAGGAGAGCTGATGTCAGGTTCAGGCTTTCGCTTTTCAAGAGGCCTGGTGAGCAGCCTGTTGCTAGCAATATGTGCTTTGTGGAGATCACCTGGGATGGGTGAGGAGATGAACGAATTGAACGAAATGTTCTCATGCCTTGCTTTGGTGGAGCTTATAAACTGATCAATGGCAAGGCTGATCTCGCGTGTATGAGATGCGACAGCTCTCATCAGACGCCATATCCTCTTCAAAACACGATCATTGCGAGAGTGAACCAATCGGAGTGAACGGCTCCAGTCGTTGTCACTCTTTTCTTCACATGCTGAAAAGCTGGCCTGAGCGCCTTCGGCAATTTCCGGACTACTTGTACCCTTTCCGCACCTCCAAGGCTCCAATCTCGAGTTCCACCTATCTTTGCCCGCAGCGATAGATACTGCCTACCCCAAAGACAACACTCGACTGAGCGCAATAAGTCATCAAATAATCCCGACTCGAGTCGTAAATGCCTTGGAGGGTATTTTTCCCTCTTAAGCGTCAATTGCGTTGGGCGCTCTACAGCGGCCGTACTACCCTCGAACCACCATTGCATCAAACAGTATCGCCGCGCGACATTCCCTTGATTGAATGAGCGACTCGGAGTTCCGCTGGAGCTTATATCATTGATCCAAGAACGCAGCGTTCCAGCTTTAATCTGTGGTCAAAATACTCGAGCTAAGCATCATGGGCTCGTATGAAGGCCAATCCATCAACCGAGCCAACCTCGCTAAGCAAATCGTCCGCGGAATCGAGACAGCTCCAATCCCAGCGCCCGGTACCCTCCTCCAGATTCGCACAGGCAAGGTCGGCCGACTGGGACACACGAAATCTGCCATTGCCAAGCACGAAGTCAATGGTCCGATCTTCGTGGGCAACACAGGTCTGATCGAAGATGAGCATGTCTATCGCGACCACGGAGGAATTGAACGCGCGGTGCACGGCTACAACCCCAACCACTACGCAGACTGGCGAGCTGAGGAGCCACCCAATCCATCTCTATTCGACCTCGGTGGCTTTGGAGAGAATCTTTGCGCGACAAATCTAGACGAGGAGAATGTGTGCATCGGTGATTTGTTCCGGGTAGGCGAGAATGTCATACTCCAGGTCAGCGAACCACGAAATCCATGCTATAAGCTGAATATTCGTTTTGAGTGGTCACGGGCGCTCAAACGCGTCCAAAGCACTGGTCGCGTCGGCTGGCTCTTCCGCGTGCTGGAGACTGGTTATATCGAGAAAGGCGATGGGATCGTCCTAATCGACAGGCCACATCCGAGGTGGTCGGTGATGAACGTGCAACGCGTCATCGCTGGAAAGTCGGTACCGCTGGCTCTGCTGCAGGAATGCAGTGATTTGGAAGTGCTCACGGAAAAGTTTAGAGACCGAGCGCGGAAGCGATTGGAGGGCTCACCCAAAAAATACACCTTGGTCGAGGTCAAGAGCGTCACTTCGCGCGTCAAGCAGTTCACGTTCACACTCAGAGATTCGTTGAGACTGCAGAATGCTGCATTCGAGCCCTTCGCATTTGCGCAGATTCGCTTCGGCCCAGAGCTCTCAATGTCGCGCTCGTATTCGATTGTTGCTGGCGACCTGGGAAGATTCACTTTAGGCGTAGCTTTGGATGATGCATCTCGGGGTGGTTCGAAATTCCTGCACGCTGAATTGAAGTTGGGTGATGAGATCGAAATGCTTCCTGGAGCCAACCCACGAGCGGTGCGGGACGAAAAGATTTGTCTGGAGAAGGAGAGCATTAAGAATCGCATCGTGATTATTGGTGGCATTGGTGTGACTGCTTTCTTGCCTGCGATTCGACAGTGGCAAGCAGATCATGTCCCATTTGAAGTACACTATGCTGTGCGCAGCCCAGAGCAGGCCGCCTTCCTCGAGATGTTGCCAGCGAATCAGACGACTGTTTACGCCCAGTCGCGAGGGGAGCGACTTGACATGACGAAAGTCATTGCTGCGAAAGCTCACGAGGGCCGCTTCGATATCAAAGTATACTGCTGCGGGCCCTCGAGATTGATGGAAGCTTGCAGACAGCATCTTGAAGAGGCTGGCTATCCAGAGCACATGAGCCATTTCGAGGACTTCGGCGGCGCTCCGGGCGGACAGCTGGGAGAAGGCTTCGAGGTGGAGGTCCACGAACCAGACGAAGGACGCCAAGAAATGCTCACCGTCCCTCCTGAGAAGTCATTACTGCAAGTTCTCAATGAGGCTGGATTCGACGTCATGTCCAGCTGCCAGTCCGGCGGATGTGGAGCTTGCAAAGTGACCGTGTGTGCCGGCGAGGTCAAGCACCGCAGCACCGTCTTGACAGCGAAGGAGAAGGCAACGAATCTTCAGGCTTGTGTCGATCGTGGAATTGGGAAAATCACGATCGAGATTGATTGAGATCCGTTGCACTCTTCTGCTGGGCACGAGAACTGACGTTCACGAACAGACATCGATGACCGCTCACTAATGTGAGGTCAAGGGAGTATCTTGGGTCGTCACAAGGCTACTGGGAGCAAGCCAAGTATGATACTTGTGAATGCATTTCATCGCCCAAATTGTACTTAGGACAGAATGCATCCCTACCACCACTTTCTTCTTCTCGAGGCTGTCAACGCCACTGTCATCTGCAAAAGTTCTGTTGCGCTGTATCGTTTTCGGTTCTGATCTTCGTCAGGTCGGCTGAGACGTGGCCAGTACCAGTCACAGCATGCTCTACTCAGCCCTCAAGACCATCATGATGAAGTTGATGATACACTGATTAAGTTGTCTCTTTGTTGTACTTTGGTAGTCATCGTCTCATGCGTGTCTGAAGCTGTCAGGAGAAAGCAACTGAGGGGACGTGACGCTGGCGGCGGCGGCGGCCCGTTTGTACTTAGTTAGCTTGAGACACCACCACCACCATCACCACCACTTTACGCGTCCGTCTCGACGCGTCTTCCAGCAGGCAAAAGACTTCAGCTCAACCCAATCCCATTCCACCACCCTTCCACCACCCCTCCCATCTCCCAAAAACAAAAACCAAAAATGTCCGAAGCAACCCCCCGCATCAACGCCGAATACCTCGAACACTTCTCGCACAAAACCGTGCGCATCACCGGCAAAGTGCGACAAATCCGCGGCGAAACGGCCGTAATCGATGCCAAAGGCTCAATCACCCTACATCTCAACAAGGCATGCATGGCAAAGCTTTTTTTTGTTTTGTTTTCGGATCGATGAAGAAGAAGAAGAAGAAGAAGAAGAGCTCGACTGACTCTCCTCCCACCAGGACTGCCATCTCCAAAACAACCACGCGGTCGAAATCATAGGCAAAGTTCAACAGGATTTGAGCGTCAAGGTCTTGGCGAGTACGGATTTTGGGCTGGAGAATGATATCGGTACGAGACCGGAGAGCACGCGAAGATTTGAACGCTGGCTGGGACGCGCGCGGAAGGCTCGGTCAGAATGTGCTGACATTTTTCAAAGATTTCAACGCAATCGACGCCGTGGTAGATGCTACGCATCGCTACCATGAAATCTTTTACCAGAAGGATGAATGAATGATGCGATGCCCACGACGGAAAGCTACCAGTCCTGATGATCCACGGGCTCGGTGGCATCATCATGAATTTAAGCCTAAGGAAAAGCATGGAAAGAAAGCTTCGCATTGCACGTGCGACTCGGAACATGAAGGAAGCGTAGCGGCAAATCAGGCTGACAGTGAAACTAAACAATCTTGCCTTGCTTTCTCGAGCGAGCCTTGGGTAAAGAAAGAGACTTCACATGTCATCGGCGGCTGATTGGTCAGAGAATGGAGCCAAGAAGAAGTAATTTTCAGCTGCTGTCATCATACAATGAATGTCTCTGCCTCTCGACCAGCGAATTCCAGCCTGTGCTTCTCTGCCCAACGTAGCGCTACACGTATGTATGGCCGGAACCTTGGAAGACAGGTTTTCTTGGCCACTTGCGTTCAAGGTAAACGACTCTTTCCGCCTTATACGGTATGCCGCAGCCAACTCAGGAAAGGCCAGGCGAGTTCTTGACTGATCGGAATCTGACCCCAGCCTGATCGCTCGCGCGTATCCGAACCCAATGGCTCAACGCCTCCTGCCTTCCCTCGTCCCATCTCCCGGTGATCCGAAGATTCTCAGGAATGCCTCCGCCAATGCAGGAAAGTCGAAATATCTCTTAGTCCAATTCAATCACGCACCTCCAGTCAGAATGATCGGAAACATCCTTTGAGCTCCCTTCGGACCATCTCTTCCCATACCACTCCAGGTAGGACCAGGCTTTGAACGCGGAGAATACCACGTCGATGACGCTGTCATCAGTGTTCCATACCCTGTACAGTATGCCGCTGGCAATGCCGTCCCAGCCTCTATTTCTGTCGTATCTTACACCATATTACAATCCATATTGTTGAACAAGATATCCTACACCACCTACACATGTCCATCTTGTCATGCAGCATCGACTTTGGTCCTCCACCTGGACCATGCTCAGACAGCGGCTCCAACAGCGATGCCGGAGGCACGGTTCTCAGCAAAACCATGCACGCTCCCTCTCTTTTGAACCATTTTTGGACTGTTCAGCCCGTCGCCCGTTGTCTGACCTTTGTCTGCAGCAAATGCATCACTCCTGACAAATGTGCTTGTCGAGTTGTAGAATTCGTCTAGGATGGGATGGATCAGGACGTTTTGATTGTGGATCGTCAGGACACTGTTCGTAGGCACCGTCACCCAATTGTCGCGTTCGAAGGTCAGTGGCTCGGAGGCAACGAGAACGATATCCGCGCCTCTGTCTCTCCTCTCCATCTTGTACTCTCCTTTGCCAATCTTGCTTTGGCCGGCGGGGACTGTGGAGGGCTGTTCCCTCCAATTGGTGCCGCTGCTGAAGAAAAGGGAAGCTGCTTCGTCAGTTTTCGAGCTGACATAGCGAGTACACACTACACTCTTGCCGTCTGTAATGGCGAAATTCAGGAGACTTCGGACATCGTTGCCTTCTCTCACGTCTTCTGGTAGCGACTTGATGAAGCCGTTGATCCTCTCGATGGTCTTGAGCATTGCTTTCCTCAGCACAGTATGACCGAAACCATCTCTTTGCTTTGAGGCATCATCTGGATCAACACCTCCATACTTCTCCAGGGTATCAAGGAATAATGCGAATGCCCACTCCGAATCCGTCGAGCCTTGGACACTTTCGAACCAACGATCATTGACGTCCATGACCAGACGCTTCTTCAGGCCTAACTTCCAAGCCCCAATGCCACCATTGTGCATCCACATCAAGGCGCCTCTCGCGAATGGGTGGCAGTTGCTATCGCTTAATGCGCCTTCGGTGCTTGCTCTGACATGGGCGAAGACCAATGGACTGACGGTTTTGGATGCCAATCGTTCCAAGTTCCGACAATTCCAGGCTGGGATGGTACTGGTGAAGATACATGGTTCTGGGCCGAGGTCCAGCACATCGTCCTGTCTCGAGGAGAGCTGATAAAGGCCTGTGGTTGCGGTACTGTTGCTGGTTATCGACGGTCGGCGTGTTGGATGGGGAAGAGTGGTGTAGTAGCCGACTCCGAAGCCATCGCCATTGTGAGGTCGTGTGGTGTCGAGTCGAAGGCGTGAGTCGTAGGACTGGGTGAGGATGGAGTGGGTGGGCGAGGTGATGAGGTGGGAGAGCAGGACGGGGCTTTGGCCGGAGTAGATGAGGAAGCGGCACATGTTGGCGAGGTGGCGAGGCCTCGTTCGCGCGGGTGCCAGGTGGTGCAATGAGGAGTAATATGAGGGGAAGTGGTTCTAGAAGGCCGGGGCTTCTTCGCAGGTATCGCGGGATGATATAGCGACGGCAGGTACGACACGACGAAACAACGTTTGCGTGGGTGAAGGGCGATGCTTGCGTCAGTAGGGTGACGGCGTGTTGGTGTTGGTGCGATGAAGCGTGTGCACCTGCCGCAACGCGACCGCGGTCAAGAAGGAGAAGGATCGTGGTTGTTCTGCGTCGCATTTCTTGGCGGCATGACATGACGTGCTTCGTGCTTTGAGGCACTTTTCTTCGGGATGTTGCGTGGCTTGTGTGTCTGCTCGACTGCAGCTGGTTGTTGTTGATAATTATTATTACGAGATATTACCTCTTTGCTTTGTATAATTCTTCGTGTCTTTTTATATACTAACTCTATATATATCCTCGAGCGTAATATCTGCACTTCTAAGTCTCTAGGCTAATATCGGCTTCCCTCTTTGCTCCCTTATAACTTGTTGCTATATAGATCGCTAGGCTTCGTTTTACCGTAAATGCACTAGTGCAGTTCTCGCACTTAAAAGGTTTTAGGTTAAAGCCGGCTTCCCTCGTTATTCCTTTACAACTTGTTATTATATACCTCGTTAGGGCTCCTTTTACCGTAAATGCCTTAGGGCAGTTTTCGTACTTAAAAGATCTTAGGTTAAAATCGGCTTCCCTTTTAATTCCTTTGCAACTTGTTGCTATATAGATCGCTAGGCTTCGTTTTACCGTAAATGCCTTAGGGTAGTTCTCGTACTTAAAAGATCTTAGGTTAAAATCGGCTTCCCTTTTAATTCCTTTATAACTTATTACTATATAGCTCTTTAGATCTTTTTGCCTCGTAAATGTTATAGAGCAGTTTTCGCACTTCTTATAAGCTAACCTCTTATATATCTTTAGGTCTCCTTCGGTATTAAATCGACGTCGATACGCTAGGTATAGGAATCTATTAAATAATTCGTATCCGTCGAAGGCTACAACTTCCGCTTCTAAGTGCGCGTTATAGCGAAGAGCTAATAGCTTTAATATCCCTCGAAACTAAATTCTATCTAACGGCATTGTCTTAATAGCAATATTGCCCTCTATTTGCTTCTAGTAACAGATCTCGCATTCTTACTCGCTAGTGTTTAGCGGGAATGTCTTTCGTATACGTCCTATTAAAAGTATAGCAACTTTGTCGCCTACTAACCTATAGTAATCCTATCGTACGTAATCGTAGACTATTACGGCAAGGAGGAAATAGTACTCCGGCTAGTTAGGATCTATACTATTGTCGGTTAAAGTATTAGTATATAGCCTAGCTAATTTATTAACATCGAAGGATGCCTATACTTCCTCTCTATCTATTCGAAAGAGGTTAGAATTCTAGACGCGGGAAGTGCTATAGACGATAGTAAGACGGAATTTAAGCATCGGATAAGTGCTATAAAGATACTACTATATATTGTTATTAGTTGAACCTCCGTCTAGTCCGGACTAAAGTAGTATAATCTCGATAGGGCAGTTATACTATTCGACGGAGTCCGCGAGTTAGGATAGTAAACTACGTACTAGATTGCCGCTACGTCCGGATTGTCCTTCGTCCTCGGGGTCTAGGAACTGTTTTCTAGAACTGCCTAAATATATATACGGAATCTACGAGACTTGGTCTATATTGTTACGTAGCTCTACCTAGGATATAACTTTCTTAGGGAGTCTACTAGTCGTACTAAAGTTCCTATAAAACGCGCGAACTTAATCGAACGTACGGCCTTCTAAATCTTCGAAATCTTTAATCTTTCTAAGTGCTATGCTTTTCCGTACTTAGGAGATAATTAGTCGTAGCGTATAGTCGATAGCGTCTTAAAGATCTAGCGCTTCTCTTAGGTCGGATAGTAAGTGCTAGAGAGCAGATATGCCTACTTATCTACCGACGCTAGGATAGAGGCTATAGAAAGTGTTTTAACTATCTATATGCTTTAGAAAGGTCTAAATACTCTTTAATAGTACTGTACTAATTCGATCTCTTAAGGAGTTCTCGTCTTCGATATCTACGGAATATCGGATCTCTTCGATAACTCTAGCGATAATATCGGCTTCGAGCGTCGCTTCGCCCTATAAGTCGCAAAGTAAGATATTATATACAATTCGCCTTAGCTCTAAGAGTAGGACTTCTCCGTTATATAGCTAAATATCTACGAAGATACGTTCCTACTTAGGGGTGCTATCGTTCTTACCCTCGCTATTCTACGATCTATCGTCTATCTTTACGTCTTTATTTGCGTTATCGCTCCTATTACCGGATTCTAAAGAGGAGTCGGGAGAGTAGTTAATGTCCCTAGTCTTATAAAGCGCTATAAGCGTCTCGTTGTAATCTAGCTAACTGCCGCCGCTTATATTACCTTATACGAGTATCTTCTCTATACGACGAGCGTATACGGCTCGATACGCCGCGGCGTCTAGTCGTAATTAGGAAGTCCTTACTATATCGAGATAGACGTACTCTACGAGATTTTATACTTTGTAAATAGTATAGTCGTTATAATTCTTCTAAAAAGCAGTGTCGGCCTATATGTACTTCTAACGACCGACTGTACTTATCTAAGACGGCGAGTAGAGGGCCGACCCGTATAACTTCTCGAATAGAGTAGTTAAAATCGTTTCGACCCGCCGACGATAGAATGCTTTTTGTTCTACTTTAGAACGATCGAAGTGCTATAAGTCGAAGACTACGATCTTATATAACTCTCGACGAGCTATAAAGAACTCCTAGTGTATATTAGCCTCGTTTAGGACTAAAGCGGCTTTAGTTATGTCTTCCGTTAGTGCGAACAGAAATCTAAAGCCGTATTCTATAATCTGCTTAATAGCATCTTTAGATATTGTCTAATAAGCGACTTTAGTTAGAACTCTAACGGCGAGCTTTCCTCTTACTCGGTCTAGTACGTATATTCGGACTAAAGCTAAAACTAAGTCGTCGACTAACTAGAATATAGGTACTAGACTAACAACTCCTCTAGCCGTAAGTTAGATTATCTTATCTAGGGCTATATTATTAACTACGACACTAATTGTCTTAGAGGCATCTAATCGGGTCGTATCGCCCGAAAAGTAGGTATTAAGGATCTAGCGAAGCACTATTAAAGTCTAATCCGAGACAGACTTTGTCGATAACACCTTTCTAGTCTTATAAATCCTCTTAATTGCCCTCTAAAAGTTAGCCGTAGGTAAATCTGCCGAGGTATAGAACTTAGTGTTCTACCGGGGAGTATATTCTTTCGGCTTGCTATTAAGTAGAGGCTAGGATAACGCCTTAACAGCATCGCCCTTACTTAGTAGATCCTTCTTAGTAGATAGAGCACTCTTACCGATAGGCTTCTTCGCGAATAAAGCACCTTTACTAGCCGAGTTACCCTTAGACGAAGGCTGCTAACTTAATATGCTTTTAAAGATGTGCTATAGCGTAGGCTACTGTCTTCTACCTTCTTATATTAAGCGTATACGCAGCTCGACGAAGTGCTACCTTACCTACTGCCCTATCTTTACTATAATCGGCTCCTCGCGTATAAAGTATCGTATATTGTCGATCGTAGCGAAGCCGTACTCGTAGTTATTCGGCTATAGAGTGTATAGTACCTCTCGAGAAGGCTAGGTATAAGCATCCTTAAATAGAAAGTCTAGCTTCTTCGAAGCAAGCTCGAGCATAATCCGAATACCTTGTTCTAACTTTCCGCTACGCTTTATACCTCTAAGCGAATTAGCTAAGATAATAACTTTATTTACAAAGTCGATATTAAAGGAGCTCTAATAGCTATTACTTAATATAGTACCTGCTATAGCCTTACTATTTGCGGGCATATCTAGGATATATACGGCGTAATTCTGCTGCTTATTCTAGCCTTCTTAGTCGATAAGCGCGAGCGTGTCCTATAATTGATTTTAATAGACTTCTATCTTATCGTCTAGAAGCTAGCAAAGTAACTTAACGGGCGAGAAGTAGACGATTCCTAGTACGAAGTTGTAACTATCGAGCAAGATAAAGTCCGAAATCGTTATATTATCTAGCTAGTAGTCGCTACTGTTATAGTTACCTATTAGCGGATACTATTTACTCTAGGTGCGCAAACTTAGCCCGCTAAGACGATAGTCGTTCTATAGATAGTCTATTAAAAAGACCGTATTCTTAGGAAACGATAGATCGCCCTAGTTCCGGAGTCCGTTATCCTTTTTGTTCTGCTTAAGGTAAGTCGCGATAATGCGAGCGAGCGGTCTCGTAATCGGCAGTAATAGTCCGTCCTTATCCTGCTTCGAGTTAGGATTTAGTCCTTACTCGAAGGAGATCTAGCGTATATTCTAGTAGGCGAAGTCTAAGTTGTACTTATTCTACCTTTTCCTAGTAAGAGCTAGATCCTCTAGTTTATAGTCTAGGACTATAGTATCCTTCTGCGATAATCCTACGACTAGTACGCTCTTCTATATAGTTAATAGAGTGCTTAACTTAGCCTCCTCGTTATTATCCGTTATAAACAACTTATTATTAGGATTCGATACTGCGATATCTTCTTGTATAAGCGAGTCTCTATCGTCTATATAGAAGACGTCGGCACTTGTCTCTGTCTCGTTAACTGCCGGTAATGCCGCTAGTAGTACTGCCGGTGCCTACGTAGTAGTAACGGGCGGGAGCTATACAACCGTTACGCTAGCTGCTTTTAGCGTTAGTAAAGCTTTCGTATTAGCAAACTTAGAGACTAGTAGAGTAGTAGGTCCCTTCGATACTATATTAACCTCTCCTTTGCGGATCTTCTATTCTCGCTATACTCTACCTTTCTCCGTAGTAGCATCCTATCCCTATATATCTTAGCGCGTTCCTAACGTATAGGCCGATTAGGTCTAGGGCTAGTATCTAGAGATCCGTTTCGA